TATCACTTGGTCTTTTGGGGTCGGTTGATGATACTATAAGTGTATAGTTTGGCGAGGGGCGTATCAAGGGTGCCTTCTGCTGGGGTGTTGCGATGGTCTTTGCTGGTTTTTGCGCCACTGCCGCGTAGGTATTTGATCTTTCTTTAGTGGGTGAATGTATTCTTGCCAGTTCCTCCTGGAGTGTTCTGACTGGGGACGGGGTGGCTGTTTTGCGGTCCCTCATCGTCCGCAGCTCGGAGTTTATTGCCTCGACGCCTTCTATTAGAGGCAGGAGCCTCTCTTGGAACTCCGTGGTGTCAATGTGGATTTGGGGGGGCGCGGAGACTTCACTTTGCGGTGCTGTGAGATTGGTGGTTGTCTCCTTTATTATGTCTTTTATTTCTTTATTGAAACCCGCAGTATCAGACGAGAAAGATAGTTTTAATTCGGATACCGCGGTCATCACAGCCTCATGGTTACTTTGTTGCTGTGTCCGGGCTTCAAATACACCCCTCCTTATCTCATCCAGTTGGTTGCTGAGGGACTTTATGTCCTGCTGGATTTTTGTCATCCCGCTGCTGAAAGCCACTCCGCATCCTTCCCCTCCCCCGCTCCCGGCCCTGCCTTTTAGGTGCAGTATTTTAGTAATGGTTGCCTCCATTTTGGTAATCAAAGATTCCATACTGTTGATCTTGCTGTATGGTTCTTTGGTCTCAACCCAGCCAGTCTCTTATTGCTGCAGTATCTTTCAGACTGGTTTTGATGTCTGTCTTTGTTTCGGAGATCTGACTGGTCGTGTTTTTAATGATTTCTTGTATGGCCCTGTTGTGGGCCCTCTCTATTCTGACCAGCTCCCGTTGGTGCCTCGACCTTTCTTTTTCTAAATTGAGTTTGTGTCTTGATCTGGAATCCGAGATAGAGAGCACTATTTCGTAGAGGGACTGCATACTTTCTAGGGCTTTTACTTTGCATTCCCTCTTCATTTTCCCGGCATTCTCAATGGCTTCTTTCCCACTTAGGTATTCGTCGTTTGCAGTTTTTGTCGCCATGTCCATTTCTACACCAGATCGCTTGGTGGTCGGACAGGCTAGCATGCTTTTTCGTCTGGAGTGACAGGCCTCAAAATCGTCTAGGTCCGTGTCCGGACCCAGGGATGAGTTGTCCTCCTCTGAGACGATCAGCATCTGGGGAAAGTCATTTCTTCTCCTCGGGAACGTGCTCGTCATCTCGTCTTCCTTAATTACAATATATGATATTGACGACCTTCGGGTTAGTTTGTTTTGTGGTATTATTGTATTATTATGTTCATTCGGGTGCGGTGAGGAGGGGCTCTCGTCGGCGGTGCTGTTTTCTGTTTGTGTTTCGCTCATGCATGGGACTGTGGTGCTTCCTGATTGTGGTGCAATATCTATCGAAGTGTTTGCCGCTGTGGTTTTGTCTTTTGCTGCCGCATGTGACAGCAGCAACGAGCAGTCCTCCTGGTGCTCGGAGGATGCGCTAATTGCCCTTTTAAGTACCTTTGCACGAAGCGATTTTGTAGGTTGGTGTTTCGAGACTTTAGAAGGTGATTTCCTAAGCGTTGAAGTTTTCGGTATTGCCTCATCTAAGACCGACCTACCCTTCCGACTTGTTGAGCTTCCCGAGCTGATAGATGACATTTTAATTGTATGTAAAGGTACAATTGCAATAGAGCTGGTGAGAAAACTTAGATCTAGTATCAACAGTGGTTAGAGACCTTAATAAAAAAAATGTATAAGTTGTAAAATAGTATATGCTTAGTCTATGAGTTGTATAAGTAATTAAAAGCAAGATTTTCGTACGTTTTTTTTTTTTTTTTTTTTTATTGTATAGGGGATGGACTTACAATTGTTGGATAGGTGTTGTTATCCTTTGGTGGCTCGTCCGGTGTTTTTAGGCCGCTGCTGGGTACAGCCTACGCGTGTGCAGCGCCCGGTGTTGTAGCAGCTGCAAAGTTCCCAGTGAGTGAAAGCGCCGACTCCTCCAAATTGCGTGGTTAGAAGTGAGTTCGGTAGATTCGATGATTTTCCTCCGTTGGTTTGTGTTTCTGGAGATTCCGTAGGGGTGGGTTTTTTGGGCTCCTCTTGCCGGTTCGTTTGAGCCCTCGCACGACTTTGTAGGTCTAATAGAACCCGAGTTAGGATGAGAGGGGGTGAGGTAGCATAAGAGGGGGGCGGGGGAGGGGTGTTTCGCGGGGATGACTTGGGGTGGGGGGGGTCCCGCGGGGGTGTTGTGTGGGGGGGAGGGGGGTTATCAAAGTGTTGGGGTAAAGGGGAAGGTTCTATTTACCTCGGTTGGTAGTCTCTGGCGGTTCACCCTTTGCCGTAGTGACGTAGCGGTTCGCACTTGGCCTATCGTGACGTAACGGGATCCTCTCGACCCGGGCTGCTGGTCTTCACCTTCGGTCGTGTGGTGGGTGATGGTATGTAAGGGTACCTGGTGAAACGGCTAAGTCCCAAAGACGTCACCAACGCGTCATTCGCGACTTTCGCTCACACTTGACCAGTGTGACGTCAGTGGATGCCTTGGTCCTGGCTGCGAGTCTCTAGCGCTGGTCGCCTGATCTGCCGGAGCACCCTGGCCGGTACGTGAGCCCTAGGTGTCTGCGGAAAACGTCACCTGACGGCGCCTCTATGGCGGCACGTGTAAGAATTGGCCGAAGGTCGGTGTTTTGGAGGTGAGTTTGGGCGTTAATAACTCCCGTTCTACCGCTCGGATCTTTTCGGGACAAACGCCTCCCAACAGCTCGTACCCTGAATTTCTGGGATTATTGTTTTTTGTTGTCTCACCCTGGGATCCTTGGTGTTATAGCCTCCCAAAGTTGGGAAGCTATAGCTCGTTCAGTTCTCGTTCAATCACTCCACCAACACTAATCCTGGTGAATCGGACACTTATCCTTCACTGTTTAAACTTTCACACGCGTAGCTCCGCTTTTTCTATTTTTTTGTGAATTTTTTGCGCGGAGCAGTAGTGGTTTCGACCGTTGTATGGCGTGTACTAATAGAAATATTAGTGTTATCGAATTGTGTAATATTTAAAAGTGATATGAATAGTGTTGTTCCACCAACAAGAGAACGAGATTTTGATTAAAACAAACAACAAAATATAACCCGATCTAAAAGTAATGAATCGATTTAACATTAAAACAAAATACTTAATAATTATCAATAATTGTGCATGTGATAAAGGGTAGGTAAATAGTCATTGTATTTTAGACAAATCATGTTCATTAGAAATGTAAATCACTTTAGATGAGTCACTCATGCGTATTAGGATCTTACAATCGGAAGGCCATACATACTTAAAGCCCCTATCCTTAGCGAGGTCGCGAACTTTTTTAAATAAAATTTTATTTTGTGGGGTAAGATGGTCGTTGGCGAAAATCGGCTTTGATGGACCGTCCAGGCCTGCGTCGACAGTTGTTAATCCACGCCGTTTACGAACCGCTGCGAGCATCTCATTTTTACGGTACCTTTGTATAAATCGAACGATTATGTTAGGAATGGTGGATGATTCTTCTGAAGGCTGGTCATCAACCAACTCCGTACCGCTCTTAATATTTGATGCAAAACGGCGAACCCGATGAACATAATCAATATCGGATACAGCCAAAGGGAAACCTATCTTCGCAGCTATGTTGTTTACAATAGTTACTAGATTTTCGCCTTTAAGAACAGGTACTCCGGGTATCTCGAGATTATTAAGTCTACCCTGCTGTTCCTTGACACATAGTTGATCAGATAAGGATTGTATTGTTTGTTGCATTTCCAGTGTTTTTTTAGTGACTGAGTCGACTTTTTGTGTATTTACCACGCTGGTCGACTTTAACTCTTGCATTTCACTCTTTATAGCAGAACATTCAGTTGCTAAATTTATAAACTTCTTGTTCATATCCTGCATATCCTGTTTGAACACACTCAAATCATTATGTAAGGCATCCAAGGTTTCTCTTATATTTTTATTTTGGATTTCTAGTGTGGAGGTAAAAGAGGCCATCAGATTATTTTGAAATTGAAGTAACTTATTGTCCAAATCACAACTACATTCCGGTGTTTTTCTTTTCCTAAGAGGTATATTACAAATAGTGTCTTCACGTAATTTAGACAAGTCGGGATGTGATCCAGTTGTTCCAAGGGGTGGGCTTCTTTGTACGCTCATTTTTTTTATTATTATTATTGTTGGAGGTAACACGATACGACACGAGATGTAAGCTTCGTGATCGAAAGCAATGCCCAGTATGCGGATTATACACTCAATTCACCTTTTTCTTCGCAAACAAACTAAATAGACCTTATTATTAAAGTTTCAACACAATTTTTAACTAGATAATTCAGCTTAAGTCAATGGTAATCACTCAAACTTCGGATAAGACCCGACCACGTCCGAACCGAACGAATGTCGAACGAAAAAATTGAACTTGACTTATGACACAAACCGCATAGACATAGGTGCTAACTAGGACCATATTCTACTTACAGCCCACTCACTCACACAGACTTTTAGATTTATCAACGATCAACCGCTCGGTAGGTAATTAACACGTGCAAATATATGGAGTGACGGAGGCCTGGCGTCAACTCCTTCTACGACTCGGCGAACCGCTGCCGCTGGACGCCACGCCTTCCGCCGAGAAACGTCGACGAGCTGCGCCCATACGATTATGACACAAATCACATAGATATCGGTGCTAGCTAGGGCTATATACTACCTTCTACAACTCGGACGAACCACTGCCGCTGGACGTCAAGCACGATAAACAAAAAAGAAACTGCAGTTCCATTATTGTTTATCATGAAATTAATGCTCAGGGCCTTCAATTTTTAATTTCTGGTTTGGAATCGTATAGACCTTTAAACGACTCAAAACACATTGATTCTAAATTCATATGACATAGTTTTGCTGCATTCTAAAATCGTTATATTTGGTGTCTAAAGAAATCTATAGTTAAGTTGACGGGCAATATCTATTTTGCCACAATTTTCATATAAAGCGTTTGTGAACAGAGCCTGAGATCTCGGAAGAGGCTCTAGTCGCGTGGGTGGGGTGGGGGGAAGGCGGGCTACGTGCCGCCACCGGTCCGGCGGCGTTGACGGCACTCGTCCGGCGGTACAGGCCGGACCTGCTGCCGGCCGGCGGGACGACGCGGTCCGTCTACAGTGTGCTACACCACGAGTTCGGTAAGTGCCTAACTATGACCTTACTTTATCATCATCAGCCTTTTAATGACATTACTGACATGATCGGAAATAAAGATTGAAAAAAAAAATTATTATTCTTTTGACTCTTTTTTTTTAGTCTAACCAATGAAATAAGTATGCCCGAGGCGTCAAATTTAGGTTTAATTAATTGAAGTTAAACTTTTTCTCCAGGGTGCTGTTTTATATTTTTGTCATTATCAACATGATATTTCTGAGTAAGGTACAACAAAGTTGTTCTTGTGGAGATAACAGAATCTTGCTTGCTACACTCTATTCATACAAACGGGCCAGTACCGACTAATGGACTGTGTCGCGGTTACTCCGGCTAGTTGCAGATCCATTTCTCGTGTGACGCAGTTTTCCATAAATGACGTTTTTAAGCGAATTTTAGGTAAAGAAAGATATTCCGTTCTCGTTTTCGTGAACAGATTGGCAAGAAAACTTCTCAGTTTTTCTATGTAATATAGAGGGTTGTAAATGAGCGTATGAGTAAGCGGCCTGTAGACGCTTGCTCACCGTGGAGCCTTTAAACCCTACTCATTGATAAAATATAGCACCACCAAAATTTATTTAATTTACTTTCAGTGAACTTGTTTACTTTATATAATATATACTATTTCTATTAAGTCGTAATACTTGTTCGGTACCTATTTTGTGTTATTACATTATTTTGAGTATTATATCTTGTGTTTTTCCGCGTTTACCTACTTGCTATAAAATTTAAGTGTACTCTATACTACAAAATTCTTATATCCATCGTCGCTTTACTTCTAATACTTAAATTAAACAGGCATGATCTGATGTCCCCGACTCCGGCACGTCTCCCAAAACACAAAACCATTCCGGCAGATGGAGGTTATTTTCGCAGACCCCAGATCATGGAGGTTAGACATAAAGAGAATGATCGCTGTAGAAAATAGTGTCCCAGAAATATGGACGAAATAAGTGAGGCGCTGCGATCGCTAAGTTGTCTCAATAAAAGCGGGCTTATTTGAAATGACCAATGCCGCGAAGAAAATTCATACAATATTCAACTAACTTCATCTACTTGTACTCATAAACAGCTTACTTCACAGATACTACTTACCGACGGCAGCGCGGCTGGTGGCTGAAAATTTTACTATAAATTCTACAAATTTTCAGGGACAGGCGGGTTAATGCTTTAGTACGTACCGATCGTTCTCCTTCTCTCTAACCTCCATGCCAGATTATGCCCCCTAGCTCTCTTATTAGTTCTTAGTGGAAGGTTAAAATCATCGTTCGATGCAGGCATCTCTCCGTTCGGCTCGGGCACAGGCGGGCGTGAGGTGCCTGAAGCGAGACTGAGGGCTTACCTCGCGCGCGTCTATCTCGCCTTCAAAGGGGAGGTGCCTCACGTACAACACCAAACCGAAGTCTTCGATCAGGTCAGTGAACGAATTATTCATAATTCATGTTGAAAATTGTGTTTTGGTTAATCTATGGAAAATAAATTTCTTACCTTCGGACTGTCATTCACTGATGACTGCGGTACAGGTTATTTTACAAAACGAAAAAAAAATGGAATATTTTTACCCGTTTTTGCTTCGATCACCAATTCTATAGATAACGGGTCAGCGCGTAAAATCCGTCTCGGTAAATATAACCCCAATTGAGGTGTGAGATCTTATTTTAAATTTCTTCGATAATACAAAAACGAAGTAACCGCTGGCCAATGACTGGTAATAGTTATTTATTATACAAGAGTGGAAAGTTCCTTTTTAACCGCGTGCTCGATTTGGATGACCGAGCAAGCGAAGGATTCTAAATTAGAATCCTGAGCGTCAGCGAGGGAAACAAACGAGCACAAGGTGAAAAATCTTTCCACTCGAGTGCAATACGTAACTTTTCATCCCACCTCAGCGAGGAAATGACAAAATGAAAAAGAAAACAATTTATAATGACAAAATATTTAAGCAATAAAACGTGAAAAACTAGAATGGCGCGAAGCACGCAAATAAAACAAAGAAACCAAGAAGGTTCCAAATTTAAATTTTTTCACAATTTAAAAAGTTCTAATCATAAATTTGGCACCATAGAGGTTACATTAAATAGGTTTAATGACGTTTTGAATTTACAATTATATTGAGTACTCATTATATGTGATGTTCTAAATTCAAATCTACTTTGCCGCTCAAGCGAATAAAATAGAATTTTCCAGCCAGATTTCGAAGCGCAAAATTACACTTTCCGAGGTGGTGGGATGAAAAAATATTTTACTTTGTGGGTCATAAGGTTGATATCACATTTTCCTTTTATAACCTTTATCGTTTTTTTCCAAGTATCAGTTATAATTTATAAAAGGAACAAGAGTAAGTTTTTTAAGATAAAAGGTCGTATGTGCGATATATATATTTTGCAATACACGGTGCCGTCCTCGAAGTTGTTCAAAAATATGTATACCTCGGGCAGACATTGCAGTTAGGTAGAAACAACTTTGAGGACGAGGTGAATAGAAGAGTTCAGCTAGGTTGGTCAGCGTTTGGGAAGCTACGTCAAGTCCTGACATCGTCGATCCCACAGTGCCTAAAGACGAAAGTCTTCAATCAGTGCGTCCTACCTGTGATGACATACGGAGCCGAGACATGGACACTGACGGCACGGCTGATCCACAGGTTCAAAGTCGCTCAACGCGCTATGGAAAGGGCTATGCTCGGCGTTTCTCTGAAAGATCGCATCAGAAATGAGGTAATCCGACAGAGAACCAGAGTTATCGACATAGCCCACCGGATTAGCAAGTTGAAGTGGCAGTGGGCTGGCCATATTTGCCGAAGAACTGATAACCGTTGGGGTAGACGAGTTCTGGAGTGGAGACCGCGTCTAGGCAAACGTAGTGTAGGACGTCCTCAGGCACGATCGAGTGACGATTTGCGCAAGGTGGCTGGCAGGAGCTGGATGCGAGTAGCCCAAGATCGATCTGAGTGGCGTGCATTTGGAGAGGCCTATGTCCAGCAGTGGACTATGATAGGCTGTTGATGATGATGATGATGTGCGATATGACATTTTGTTATTTGTAACTTTATTTCTTTATGAGATAGTTGTTATTAGGTTCAATAAACTGTTTAAAACATTTATCTTTGTTCATTGGTAATCGAATGTAGCTGCATAAATTTAAACATACGCGGAAAGTTTTAAGCTTTGATTTTGTATGCAACCCGTTATGTGTAGAATTGTTGATCGAAGGGTTTTTGCAACATTTTACATCGATACTCCGCTCCTACTGGTTGCAGCGTGAAGTTATATAGCCTTTAGCCTTCCTCAATACATGCACTATCTAACACAAAATGATTTTCATATCGGATAATTAGTGCCTGAGATTTACGCGTTCAACCAAAAAAAAAGTGCAATCAGTACAACGAGTCCTAAAGTACGCAACAAAAATTTCAGTATCAGTTAAATAAATTTTCATGGAAGGTTAATAATTATATAAAGATATTCATTGTGCAATTATAATACAAGCCTGAGAACAAAAACTATAGTCTACACTACAGCTCTACACAGAAGCGAAGTGAGGGCGGGCCACTAGATAAAGTAATGTTCTCTAGTGTCTCAATTGAGAGACTATATTATTATGTTAATTGTGTAACGTAAAGAAATGAACCTAATGCCGGCGCTTTACATGCCTATTCGTATCTTCTTTTTTATAAACATGACAATAGCCTCTCCTTTACATTCCTTATAGAGTAAGACAAGGAGTACCTGCTGTCAAAATGACAAATAGCAAATACGAATAGCCATGTGAAGTGCCGCCATAAGGAAATAAGCAAACTTATGCTAATTTATACTATACTATACTATATAGTAAAACATCAAAACTGTGAGCTTGAGGGTGTAAAAATTTATAAAAAATACTCCAATAAACCACACCAGACCTTAATGATAACACATTTGGCAGTTGTTCTGTTTGAGATGTTGTCCATTTTGTTGTTGGCACTGGCTTATGCTTAAGACTTGTAGCGACAGGATCCTTAGCTCCGCTTATGTGGAACTTGATTTTGTGTAATTTTTGTTAGAAATTCTAAAATTTTTTTATGCATATTCGCACTATCTCACTATGTCAAATTGCATTTCACTCTTAACTTTTTACAGACTCTACTATGACTGACACTCGCGTCAAAGATTCTTTATTTGTGAAATAATGATTGGCAAATTAGACAAAAGTTGATTAACAATAGATATGGTGTCCCTTTAAGTTTCTATTGTTGCGATGCTCCATTCATTATACATATTTTTAATTTGCCTTTAGTACTGAATGAGAAAGAAAATGATTAATAAGGGTGTCCAACTAAACAGAGCCTATTGTAAATTGTCGTTATAAATAAGACTCATGCTTTATGTTTAGATCAAACAAAGTCTACAGAAAGAGAAGCATGTACGGAACACCAACGACCATTCGATATCTGCGTATTCAAGTGAGTATACGTTATGATTGAAACAAAATTTATAAACTTCTGACACTTCTGTTTTCTACATAAAACTATTATTGTCATATTTTTCTGATATAATCCAAATTATTTGTTTGGAAAACTTAACACTGACTTAATAATATACTACACAATACAACATACAGTTTGAAAAAAAAATATTAGAAATAACATCTTGTAAAGTAGTAAAAGTAGAAGTCTTTAACTGTATTGTAATTAAGAATTATTTAGTATTCTTTAGTCGTTTTTTCACTATATGTAATGCATTATGCAAATTCTTTAGAAAATTCCATTTCCCCAACAGATGCAGCAGAAGCCGAAAAGTCCCATTCGAGCAACAGGAAGAAGAGACGCTCAGTTCGGACACCCCATGTAAGTAACGACTCTGCTGAATACATCCGCAACAAGATTGGCCAACTCGATCTCAACGACATCACTCATCTCGCGCGCTTACTCGACGGTCACGACGCCCTCGTCACAGACAGGCAGACGGACAAACAGAGGGAGTTGCAGGAACAAATCCTTGCTTTATTAGATCCCGACGATTCTCCTGACCCAAAAGTTCTCAGAGCATCTTTAGCACAACTCCTCCAAGGGGGCGTAAAAACCAAAGTTAAATCTCAGGAAAAATTAGCCAATTTCTTCACAGTGAGCTCGGATCCAAATCCAGTGAGACCTCCACGCAAGCTTAAAGGCTTAGATGTTTCGACGATAAGAGTTCCGGATTTCTCCGATGTATTTCAAGATGACACCGACACTGATGTAACCCTTGTTAGCACAGTGAAACCGAAAAAGAAGGAACTGATCAAGGCCGCGTCCGTTGACATTCCGACTGTAGGAAAGTTTACGAGGGCGTCTTCGGTTGAGGATCCAAAGGCGAAGGAAATGGTTCGCGCCGCCTCTACTGAGATCTCCGGGCCTAAAGGGAGGAGGTTGTCTGAAGTAGTCGATTTGTATAAAAGGAGACATTCGCAGAGCCCCGAAGTATCTTTTGGACGATCGAGTTCCGTAGGCCCCGGCGATTCGGCAAACACTAGACGCATCGCACAGTTATTCGAAGCCAGCAAACGGCGTAGAACGCCCAGCCCCGAAGCCAGAACGACGCGTTCGACTTCAATCAATCCCGAAATGGCGCTCCGAATGCAGAGGATGACCGATATGATCGAAGGAAAACGCCAGGACATGTCCAGTCCAGAGCGCGTGAAGCGTGACTCAATTGGAAATCCAGAGATGGCTTTGCGTCGCCAGCGTATGGTGGATTTGATAGAGGGATGCAAACCAAGAATGGAGCCGCGGCAACTGGAACAGAAGCGGGATAAGGAGATGTCGTTCCGCATGCAGCGGGCGTCTGACTTGATGACGAAGAAGGTGGAGGGGAAACGAGCAAGGGGAGGTGGGAGAAGGCGTGCCGCTAGGGAGATCACTAGGCAGCGATTCGAGAAAAGCCTACAGATGTTGGTTGCTGAACCGCGCCTAGAAACTGGAGGGGTCGGGGCCGATCTTGAGCATGATGTCGGGCTGCTGCAGTACCGCGCGCATGCGCCGGAATTCCGCGACCGCGTCCAGAAGCTGGAGAAGAAACTTCAGCACTACGTGAGCCGTGTGCTGCATGAAAGAACGACGCTAGCGTACACCCGTAATACTCTGCATGAATTAACGGATACTAACATTCACACTGTTGTTGTTGTTTTTGTTTTGTTTTGTTTGTTTTTTATGCTAGCACTTCGGTTGGCTACTCAATTTAGCTATTTGTAAACTTTACTGCAGTATATCCTTATCATACTCTATAGGGATATGAAAAGGAGAGACTGCTGTCAAATTACAAATTGCGAATACGAATAGCTATGGGAAATGCATTTGTAAACACCGTGTTTGACTAACTGTTTAGATACCAGATTTGATGATTTACAACCAGCTGGATAAATGTTTTTGGTGCGTTCTTTTTACTGATAACGTTATATAAAAATTAGTTAAAATACAAATAGTTCCTAAAAAATAGCCTTTTGGGACTTCTGTCGCAATGACTTTTGAATGCAGCAGCTATCTTTTCGCACTTTGCAAATTAAAAATGTTTATGCTTCTTATAAAATATGCAATGATTTTTGATTGGTTTTGGTGTGTTGTGAAGTTAACGAAAATCGAAACAAACATCGAAATCGTTACAAAAAGTTAAGAAAGTATTTTTTTTACTTGTAAATTTCCGCCTCGCTACTTAATATTTTAACATTCATAATATACGTTAAATTAAAAATTTAAGTAATTTAGTTTGTTACGTGTATTACTGAGTCATATTTAAATAAAAAATAACCATGAATCGGATTGAATTAGATTACGTGGTCGACGAAAATATCTCAATACGTGGTTAAATTTTCGAGTTCGATTAAATGTGATACAGTGACCTGATTCTGACATAATTATTTTCACTCAAAACTAAATGATAACATTATTTCTTTTTCATCCTGTACAGAGCATAAAACGAATACACTGTTGTCAAATTCAAAATTTTAGGTTTAGAGAATCATGGGAAAAATGAGCCCATTGTCGCCTTCTTTGCGATATCAGTTAAATAAGGCTATACTTCACTTCGAAGCAAGTATCAAGCGTTAAATTTGATTGACATCCTTGAGCGCGGTAATCGAAAAAAGACATCGCCTTATTTTAGATAAGCTTAAAAGATTCTTCCCTTGTTAGGAAGAGGGCCGTATCGTCGGTGGTGGCGGGAGGATAGCAGGCGGAGGGGCGCGAGTAGCCAGACTGGCCGCAGAACTTTCTGGAACCACAACAACTACTACCCCGAGCAACCCCAGGACTCAAGCGCAGAAGCCCAAGGACCTGATGCGCTCCGTCGGCAAGATAGAACGCGACGACTGGAACGTGAAAGAGATCGAGCGCAAGATCATGGAAAACAGACTGGGGCGGCCCGAACCCAAAACAGCGGAGAAAGTACCCAAGTGGGATAGGGAACAGGTAAGTAATATAATAGTTTTGTGATAGTTTAAATACGTGTTTATATTGCTGTTTTTTTATTTATTATGAGTCATTGGTTAGGTGAACATGAATTGAAGGAACTTGGATTTTATAAAGTCAATTGCTGACCAATAAGGGTTTTATGGTATTTCGGGCGCTAGACGGCAGCGCTGAGGCGAAAGGTTTACTCATCTATCAAATCGCATATGCCGTCATAGCTATGGATCAATCAATTTTAGAACGCGTTCCATTAATTCGCGCCAAAAACTTCGTACAAAAGACCACAGGTCACTAGTGACGTGAATTTTCCCGCACACCCTCACTCCATATACATTTTCGTATAATTTTACAGACGTGGTGATAAGTCGCCTGGACACGTAACCTGCAAATAGTCCAAAAAGTAAAAAAAACTCTTTGTAACTTCCTTATCCTTGATGCGGTGTGTTAATAAGTGTGCGTTGCACAGTTTCACAAGACCTCAATTGTGCAACGCGCACTTTTCATTAGATACTAATATTAACATCGCAGTATGATTTTGTTAATATTTCTTTACGACAGTGTTAAATAGACTCGATTCAGTCTATTTGAATCGCACGACATTCTTGTCCCAGTTCTTAGGACGTCAGAGGCGGTTGAAAGAAGGCGACGCCAACGAAGAGAAATGGATGGAGATAGACGAGACACTGAGCAAGTTGGATCAGAAGCTGCGGGATTCCGGCCGGCCGGACCACGGCACTAAGAAGGTAAACTAAACCTTAAAAAAATAAACATATATATGTACCACCTTATTCCAAAACGTGGACTAAAATTAGTCTTGGCTGAAACCTAATGCTGTCTCTGTCTTCTTTTTAGCAACAAAAGTGGCAGCATCAGTTTTATACCGTATTTTGTAATTTTAAGATAAAGCGGATTTAGATTATATCAAATCATCATTGATTGCATTTCATGATCACACTATCACACTAATATTATAAAGGCGAAAGTTTGTGAGTATGTGAGTGTGTATGTTTGTTACTTCTTCACGTCTAAACGGCTGGAGCGATTTTAATAAAATTTGGTATGGAGTTAGCTGACACCCTAGATTAACACATAGGCTACTTTTATCACGAAAAAAATTTAGGTTCCAGAGGTATTTTCAAGAAACTAAGTTAACGCAGACGAAGTCGCGGGCGACCTCTAGTAAGATATAAATTGTAATCTTTCATTTATTATTAAAATGGTAAATTATTATAAATTATTACTACAGTATATTATATGATTTAAGCGCGGTACCATAAATGTATAACTGTTAAGGTAATAGGTATGGTTTTACCTCTCAAGAGTCTACGGTTATTAATGATATTTATATTTTTTCACAGGTAGCCAATTTAGCGACGAAATTTGTTAAAAAAGACGACAACGAACCTGTTCCAAAACAACGACAGCCGAAGGAGGAGGTAATTGGTTAATTTAACGTTTAATCTATTTATATATTCGAAAAAAAAATATATATTAGCAACTTGTTGTTAATTTCCCGTGAAATTCTTAATATATTAAAAAAAATACCATTGTACCAATTAAGAAGATTTAACTTCGACGAAAATTAATTTGAGGTGTTGTTTTAAATAATGAAACGATGGCGTTGTAAGTAGCTAGTGTAGGATGTTGTTTAAACATGCATTTTCAATACCTAGTTAAAGAAAGCATTTTAAGTAATTCATATGACTTATCAAATTTAGACTTTTGATTCTATAACTTGTTCAATAGTTGAAAAAGAGTTGGCGCGGCCCGTTGGCGGCGGGCGTTCAGTGCGCGGCGTGCGGCACGCGTGTTTTTGCCGCTGAGGGCGTCGCAGCCGACGGTCTGCAGTTGCATCGTGCCTGCTTTCGCTGTGCTGTCTGCAAGTGCGTGCTGCGACCTGGGTGAGTCATTGTAGGAGCTGGTGTAGGAACATTATTTAAACAGCTAGTTAGCGGAATTTCGGGCGTCGCGCCTGACGCTATGCAGCTGCATCGCGACGCCTTCTGCTGTGCCGTCTGCCATTGCGTGCTGCGACCTGGTTGAGTCATTGTAGGATAACGAGTCATTGTAGAAGCTGGTGTAGGATCATTATTTAAACAGCTAGTTAGTGGAATTTCGGGCCCCGCGCCTAACGCTCTGCAGTTGCATCGCGCCTGCTTCGGTTTCGCTGTCTGCAAGTGCGTGCTACGACATGGATGAGTAATAAGTCACTGTAAATTGACGTTAAGTAGCCTTACTAACCTAACAACATTTGGTACGACAATTTATTTGTAAATAAATAAATTGGTTCTATACACATATTTGTGACGACCTCCGTGGCAGAGTGGTTTGTACGCTGGGTTTCATGGTGTCACCGACTCGAGAGGTCCCGGGTTCGAATCCCGGTGGGGGCAGATAGTTGTGTGATGAATACGAGCATTTGTACTCCAGTCATGGATGTTTAATATGTCATTCTATATAAATATACTTATGTATGTTCAGTATATGTATTCAATCCATTACCCTAGTATCCCATAACACAAGCCTTATAGTGCTTACTTTGGGGCTAGGCTAATTGGTGTGAGTGTTGGCAATATTTATTTATTATTTTTGTTTATTATTGATCATTGCGGAACCCGTAGCAATGCATGACACGAATCAGTGGAAATCTTTTAGTTGCTAGATCATTATGACTTGACGATTCATACAGTATTGATTGAGAGCTCGATGGCATAAAGGTCTGTAATCGTGGAAGTTATGTAACTATGCAATGGAGGTCATTAACGGCCAGTTCAACAATCAACCTCCAATAAAAGGTAAGGATTATCTAAGGCAGTTAGCAACAGTCGTTATTAAAATATCTTGGCAGCAAAGGTCTAGTAGGCCTCCCTTTTACTGGAGTTTTGATTATTGAAACTGGCCGTAAAGGAGTAATCGAAAATTCAATTTCTTGAGCTCCCCTGACTCCGATGGCTTTGAAACGCACGTTTAACAGTTGGTCCAAGCTGCATTCGCAATCATCAGAACCCACCAATACACAAAAGGTTTGTGTAGTGGGCATAGCCCAATCTACCAATTCCACCTATATAAAGACCTGTATTCTTTCAACAGTGGGTGTTAATGATGACTGTTGTCCTCGGATATACATGTTCTATATTTATTATTTATTTATTTATTTATTATATTTTATTATATGAAATGCGTTATTATATTGAAAGTTATCATAATAATGCAGGAATTTCACAATGGAGCGTTATGGCAGCTGTTTAGTCTGCCTCCTTATATACATGTTCACTGAAGTTATTATACCGTAAATTATCATACCAATGCAGAAATTACACAATGGAGCGTTATGGCAGCCGTTTAGTCTGCTTACGTCACTCTGGCGTGAGCGTTCCGGATGCAGTAGCGGCCTTAGGGCGGGGACAAGCGGCCACGCCCACGCCAGAACGAATCAGCCTCGAACTGTCGGACGGAGGCGCGCGAGAGATCGACGAGGACGAATGGACGGACCGCAACTTTCTTGCTTCAGAAACGTCAGCCGCCGGCGGCCTTAGGTAAGTAGACTTTTGAAACTTTGTACTTTTCTGCTGTTATTTTTATGTTCATAAGCTGTTAGGTGCCCTAAGATAATAAATAAATATTAGGGTTAATGGCGTTAATTACTGAGGATACTATATCTACGTCACGCGCAGAAAGCTATGCACTCTGCCGACAGATCTCTGTTCATGAATTTACTACTTACTTCACTGGCTACTGGCGCGCGATAGGTGTGTTTGTAATCGCTCTGTTCATTTTAATAAAATTGGAAGACGAAGTTTACGTATATTTAGTGAAATTTGTGTTAAACCACAAGAAGAATAAAAAAGAAACAAACTTGTGATATTTTTTCGTGGAATTTGAAGAAAAATGGTGAGGAAACCAAAATTAAGATCAGGATTGGCGGTACCTTAATATTTTTTTATAAAAATATTGAACGTCTAGTTCATTAACGTCATGTTAAAAGCAGAGACATTGTGAATTAAACAGACGAAATCCTTGTATTGTCGCTAATTTTAACCACATTGGTTATCGACTCACTGGCGTAAAGGCTCAGAACGCAGTTAAAAGCACCAAGAGTTACCGAGTTCAAGGCTTGATGAGGATTGCAGTTAACGTTTTTCTTTTCTTTCTCTCGATTTACTTTTTTCTTTAAATACATATATTTTCTGTTTTTTTATATACATCTTTTTTTCTCGAGTTTAATATTTGTTTTTTTTTTAGATGTATATATTTTTTTTCTGTTGATTGTTAAAGATTAGAGAGAGAGAGAGAATAATAAGATTGTTTTATAAAAAAAAGAATAAATTAATTTTACAATATGGCTGACCGCAACTTACACTGGGGATGTTGCAATAATCAGTCCGCAGAAGAAGCTTATCAAATCTGTAATAAGTGCGGAAAAGCATTCCATCTTGCTTGCACAGCGTCTACCACCGTACGCAATTCGACCCCTGCCCTTCTATCGCCGAACTGGATCTGTTCCTTATGCAAAAGTGCTAAGCCCAAGGGTGGAAACAAGGACGACACTCCCGTCCGCGGGAACTCCAGTTCGAGACCTCATAAAAGAGCAGCTATCGCATCTCCCCCAGAAATGAGCACATCCTCTATGCTAACCCGTAACGATGTTCGTGAAATAGTCGAAGATATATTTAAGCGCGAGACAGAAAAATTATTTACTCGCCTTACTGATAATATGCAGAAGATACTTACTAATGAACTAGCTCCGATAAAAGAAGAGATACGCGATATACAAACTTCATTATCATTTCTGAGTGACGAGTGTATTGATGTCAAAGAAAAAGTAACATCGATGGCCAAGGAACTGAAAAATTTGGAAACTGAAAATACTACCCTGCGCTCCATCAACCAAGACCTCAACTTACGACTAAGCCAATTAGAGCAATATGCTCGCTCCAGCAATATAGAAATCCAATGTGTGCCTGAAAACAAAGGGGAAAACATCATAGATATTGTCACACAAATATCTAAAGTTATTAATTGCGAGATTAACAACGAAAACATTAAAACTGTCATCGTGTCGCAAAAATAAACTCAACAAGTACACGCCCGCGCTCCATCGTCGTTCAATTCAATACACCCAGAGTGAGAGATTCATTTCTGGCTGCTGCTATAAAATACAATAAATCAACGTCAGATGATAAGTTAAATACATCACATACTGGTATTACCACTAAAAAGTCACCTATATTTGTTGTGGAACATCTGTCGGCTGTAAATAAGGCATTACATGGTGCTGCCAGACTGAAGGCAAAAGAAAAGGGGTATAAATTTGTATGGGTTCGTAATGGCCGTGTATTCATGCGAAAGGATGAAAGTTCCTTATTTAAATAGATTAGAATAAGATTTAGCTTATTTAAATAGATTAGAATAAGTATTTTTTTTATTTTTATTATTATACCTGTCATGCTTTTAAGGTTTTAAATTAATTGAAAATGGCTCTCAATGTTTTTTATCAAAATGTGCGAGGCATAAAATCAAAGAATCATACTTTTTATCGCAATGTTTGTTGTAATGATTTCGACGTCATAGTACTCACGGAAACATGGTTGAATCAAAATGTTTTAAATAGCGAATTGTTTGATGGTAGATATGAAGTTTATCGTAGAGACAGGGAAACGACGGGCTTTCGCTGCGGGAGGGAGGGAGGTGGCGTTGCAATTGCAGTTTCTAATAAGTTGAGTTCCCGAAGAATAGATCACTGGCAAAGTAATTGTGAAGATTTATGGATAACTCTCGACGTTCCCGCAGCGACAGCTAGTCAAAAAATACTGCTTTGTGCTGTATACATTCCGCCACCGGTGGGGAGGGCTAAGCTGGATGAGTTCATATCAAGTTGTAACAATATTATTGACAGTTGTGATCATCCTATCCTTATATTGGGGGACTTTAACTTACGACGTATCAATTGGAAAGAAGTGAATGATAACTTGATTAGTAGTAATGTTTCAAAAACGGAGGAAATGTTAATAGATTTTGCAAATGTAGCTGATATCAAACAGTATAATTTTGTATATAACCATCAGGGTAAAACCCTTGATCTCGTTTTGTCCAATGGTCTTCCATGTCATGTCTCTGAGGCTGCAGTGCCTTTTGTTCAAGTAGATCCTTTCCATCCACCCTTAAATATATCTCTTGAATTCAATTCCAAGAAAAAGACTACAGAAGCGTCGAATGCCCCACGATCTAATTTTCGTAAGGCTAACTACACTAAGATTAACAGCTTCCTTAGTGAATAGGATTGGCCAAAATTATTCACTGGCTGCAAAAATGTCAATGAGATGGTGCATATATTTTACACAATTTTACGGGAGGCGATTTCAAAATTTGTACCGAAGATAAAATTGAAAACAAAAAGATACCCTATTTGGTTTAGTATAGATCTCATCAAGCTATTGAAAGAAAAAGAAAAAGTGCGATCTCGATTTAAGATATATAAAAACCCATTAGACGAAATTACTTACAATCTTTTGAGCAAAAGATGTGACAGGGAATCTTTAGCTTGCTACAATTCATATATCGTGTCTGTAGAAAATGCTATAGCAGATAATCCAAAATATTTTTGGTCATATTTTAAACATAAAAAAGATGGGCAAAGTATTTATCCGACCACGATGTCTGACGAAATAAATACATCGAGTGATGATACTAAAATTTGTAACATGTATGCAACTTATTTTTCATCCGTATACTGTGGGCATCAAGGGGAACGATATAAGCCAGACTTCTACGTCTCTTGTGAATATCTTTCAAAGATTGCACTTGACAGGCACCAAATAGAGTCAAAGTTGAAAAAGATAGATAAAAACAAGGGACCAGGTCCAGACGAGATTCCGCCATTTTTCATAAGTGAGTGTGCATCTAATTTGGTGGATCCATTAAGTCAAATATTTGATAGTTCCTTAAAAACGGGTACGTTTCCTGATGTGTGGAAGAAAGCAAAGGTGGTTCCCATACATAAGCATGGCGATAAAACCTAAGTCAAAAATTATAGACCTATATCTATATTGAGTGCTTTCTCGAAAATTTTTGAGTCTCTTCTGTGTCCAATTTTACAAAACCATATGAAACATTTAATATCTCAAAATCAGCATGGTTTTGTAACGGCTCGGTCAACATGTACTAATCTAGTTTCATTTACGGAATTTTTAGCCGAATTAATAGACTCTCGTAAGCAAATAGATGTTATATACGCAGACTTAAGTAAGGCATTTTACCGAGTCACACATAGCATTTTAGTCCATAAACTTTCAGTATATGGGATAGCGGGACCACTTTTAAATTGGTTTAAGTCATATCTAGACTCAAGATCCTTTTATGTTGTTATGAATGGGGCGAGATCGAGTGAACACGTCATAACACCTGGCGTGCCTCAGGGCTCTCATATTGGGCCCATCTTATTTAATTTCTTCATTAATGACATTTCAGAAAGCTTCCAGAACTCTTGCCCATTCCTATATGCTGATGATCTAAAAATTGCAAGATCGATTGAATCTCACAATGATACTCTGTTACTCCAAGCTGATATTGATAGACTTTCGGAATGGTGCATCAACAATAACATGAGTCTCAATATCCAGAAATGCTTTTACATGAGATTTTCTCGCAATCGCAAATGTGTTCCTTCCTCTTACTCTGTGTCAGGCGAATTAATACAGGAAGTCCACCATATTAAAGATCTAGGTGTTATATATGACAGTAAGCTCACATTTGGTCTGCACATGGATCACATAATTAAGAGAAGTTCCAAAATGTTGGGTTTCATTATGAGAAATGGAAAATTATTTCGCAAAACTAAAACTAAAAAATTACTGTATAACAACTTTGTTCGAAGTACTCTTGAATATTGCAGTGTAGTATGGCGTCCACATTTTTCAACGCATAATCTAAGGTTGGAAAGACTTCAAAAGAGGTTTCTGTGGCATTTGGCACGCTCTTCGGGAATTGCTAATAGGATTAGAAACTATAGTGACAGACTAATCTACTTCAATATGATGCCATTGAATAAGCGACGTGACTTGTTGGATCTGCAGTTTCTATACAAACTTCTCAGGAACAAAATTGACTGTTGCCAACTGCTAGGAAAAATAAAATTCAACGTTCCCCGTAGAAACCCACGGCTCGCCATAAAACCATTGGTCCCACCTTTGCGTAGAACTGTCCTAGGCGCTAATTCCCCAATACCTCGTTTGTGCAAACTCCTCAACAAATATAGTCGGACCTTAGATGTCAATAACGATTCGCTGGCAAAGTTCAAACAAGGATTTCTGGAGGCTTATGAGACATGACATGCATGTAAATGTTGAGCATTAAGTGACAGTTGATAGAAACATAAGACTTAAAGCTTAATGTAACAAAATTCTAAAATAAAAATGAATATATGATCGGTAACTTTATGCATGACTCTGTTATTAGTTATTATTGTATAAGTAATCTTTGTTATTATTATAATATATAAAAAAAAAATGTTCACTTTACCTAATATATGTATGTGCATGCAGTGTTGGCCTTTAATAGGTTACATTTAGCATTAAATTTAGTAGATAAGATTTATTGTAAGTTTCTATGTAGCAACCGTTGGCTGACCTAAATAAATAAATAAATAATGATGAATGAGTATTTAGGTTAACCGATTGATATGCAATTACAATGAGACTAAATTAATGACAGAACAACATCTTTCATGTTGTGATGTGACACGTCGGAGAGCTATCGGTTTCATACATTTAGTACAATTAAGAGTGAGACTGCTGTCGACATCGCGACACACAATAATAAAAATATAGTTCTAACCGTCCTAAATCGATAGCTCTCTGATGCGGCACAATACAACACGACACATAAGTATATTACTGCCATAAGAAGCTCTTTTTGAAATGTCACAAGATGTGTGAATAAAAAAAAATACTATATCAAGGTGTTCTCTCACGTTAAGTCGTTGGTTACGGCTACATCTGCAGTCTTAAAGCACCCAGCAATCCACTCTGAGCCCGCGCTGGCTGAACACCCTCCCCTGTACTTTTCCTACGACTTGCATAACTATGGTGACGACAGCTATACTGAAATTTGTTCTCTGTAACCCACCAGTAGCGACGAGGAGGCGTCCAGCTCTGACGAGTACACGGACGCAGCAGAGAGTGGAGGAGAGGAGCCGCTCTCCCCTCCCCTCGCGGCGGCGGCCCCGCCCAGCTCGCACCACCTGTATTTCTCCGACGACTCGTTCGGCTACGACGATTACTCCGATGATGGTGAGTTCTTTTTAACAGACTGCAATGCAAGAGCGCGAAGCGCCACGCGCAGACAGGGTATAGTGTTTAACAGTCTATATATATATATATATATGTATGTGCCTTTGTGGCACACTAGAGACCACACGCGTGGACCGATTTTGATTATTCATACGTCAATCGTTTCGTCTTTATCATGGGAGTGCTACTAATTAAAAATGAAAATGAAATGTTATTTAAAACAGTACAACAACTTAAAGGGCCCTATATACGGTACGATTCGTCATTTCGATCAATCTAAAGGATATCGTAGCTATCAATATGGTTTCAAAATGCCACGTCATACACGAAACAATTGGTCGTAACGATAGATCATTTTATCTGTTTGAAACGCAAGGATGAAGACGTGTGGAAATGATTTAAAACATACCCCTTAAAATGGAAAAAGAACTTTTTTTCCTTACTGCCACATGGCAGTAAATTTGATTCGGTTACAAAAGAAAATGAGAAAACTTAGAAAATGTAGATTAAGAATTAGCTATTTAATCAAAATCAGTATTAGCATATAAATATTAACGCTCTGGCCAAGGTATGCGATGCTTACGGGGGCTGGCGTCAGAATGAGACAAAATAGAATTGTTGATCATAATCGTCACATCTGTCGATTCATCGTTACAATATTCATGATTGCATGGGGTTTTGTTGCGATTTCTGACATCGTCTTCGATTAAGTAAATCGTTAGCAATCTTGACATGCACATATGTCGATCCGTCGTTCTTATCGGTCTGAAACGACAGATCGTAAAGATCAATCGTACCGTGTACGGGGCCCTTAACATAACTTAAAGTTTTCTATTTTTTTTTATTTTTTTTTTCACAAAGAAAAACACTTAATTACTATATTTCTGCTAAAATTGAAATGCAGTTTGTCGGCAGCAGTTCCCGTGACATTTGAAATGTTGCATCTATTTTATTCAATCCTTGTGTTATAATAATTGACATGTTTTGGCGGCCTAGAGTAATGCTTCCATTTATTTCCAATTCGTTGGAAACTATCAATGATACAATACTTATGTACACATATATAGGCGCAGAGTCGTCCGGCAACGAGTCTTGCTCCCGCATGCGGGAGGCGCGCGAGGCCCGTCGCCGCGAAGTGCCGGCCGACGCGCGCCCTCCCACCGACAGCAGCGAGGTACCGCGCTGTGCCGTCGCCTAGCCGTTGTCGACGCTGACACTGGCTGGCCACCGCAGGCCGGCCCGTAGGGAGGTGCGCCCGTGTACACGCCCGCCCGCCCCGCCAGTGACGCGTCATTCATACTTACCATTATAATATCAATGCTCGATTCCGACTCTAGTGTCTTTAAGAAGGCCAATGGGGAAGATCTTCCACCGAGCTGGATGATGGTCGCTCCCCCCCACTGATGTTGGTCAGGCATCGTATATATCGAGTGTTAGCCTTCGAATTTTACTTGCGCGATTTAGGCTTCCTTACTTTGTAAACGCAGCGCCGGTAACGCCATCTCTTGAGGAGGCGTAAGTTTATTTCCTCCATGTTAGTTATATGTGGGGCATGTAGTTGTCGCCGCCATATGTCTTTAAATTTGTACAGATGTTTTCTTATAATAACTTGCGGCCGTACTCTCCGCCCCTAAGAGACGTAAAATAATTGAAATTAACGCTCTATTCCGTCTTCACGCCTTTATGAACCGCGACTGAGGCGTCGTCCTTACCTGCCCATTCTAAAATCAACCGATGTAGCGTTCTTTTGAATTTTCAGTTGCTTTTCTTTAACAACAAGGCGCGCTGTACAGCAATAGAGAGTAATAATCAAGCAAATTCAATGATTTTGGAACGTTATTACAAATGCAGTACTACCAGTGCATAGTTTACTTGCAATTCACATTCTGTAACTGAATAGTTTATACTATCAATACTAATAAGTAACAGAAAAAAAAGATATAGTTTGCCCATTTAGGTAACTCATTTTAAAATTTATTTTAGTGTCACATCAATCTAGTCTTTATTTATTTATAATACAATTTATCAGTGTGTTAGTTTTGCGTTGAGCTATCCAAAATTAACCTCTATTGACAAGCAATAAAGTATGTCATTACCGCATGCGTCAGTCATTTCATGCTGCAGTAACACGGGGCGGCGACAGATGGCGTGGTAAGAGTGTACTGTGCCCACACTAACTTCCGTCCACCTTGGATTGTTGCGTTATTTATTATATACCTACCTTATACTCTTACAAATACAGTTGAAATCATTTTAACAAATATTTACACTTTCAAGTGCTATTCTAAAAGTAACTTAGAATCAAATAAGTAGTTAGAATTTAAGTAACGCAACACATCCGAATAGTATTTGATGGCGCTTTAGAGTTTTGTGTCCCTTACCTTGACAATATAAAATTGTTTTTCGCGTATATATAGGGTGAAATTGAACGTTTTAATGAAACTTCGTGGGATTGTTGGGTTACGTGTATAGAGTATGCCTAATTTTTTTCGGATTTTTTTGAAGTATATTTTTTTCATGTTTTTATTTATAATTTGTGTATTTTTATGTCCTGTCCTCCTTTTGAGCAGTTTATTTATTTTAAACACTCATACTTACATATTCAGTGAAAAAAAACTAATAAATAAGCACTATTATAGAAACGGAAAAACAGTAAAATTAATCGGGTGCGGCCACCGCGGGTCAACGACCGCGCCCGCCAGCCGTTGAGAGTAGTTACACAGAGCTCAGCTGATGCCAAATTTATTGAAATAATAAGCATAAATGTCATCTTCTCTTAAGCAGAGAAAACTCTTAAAAGATAATCATTTTGTCGTGATTGGAAATAGGCAAATGTTAAGCCATGACAAATACTTCAGAACGAAATTTATAACCAGGTATTCAAAAGTACTTACGAGACCGATGTACCTATAATTTTTTTTCACTCTAAGTTCTCGTATACACTTTGTAAACAGAATCCATTACCAAACCTACTTTCATAAAGCCTTGCGGCTTTGTTGAGTATTTCGTGACACTCGCAATAACAACACACCATGTCCAAATTCTTATATCGAGCTCACAGAACAAGAACTGATCGAGGCATTATTTGCAAATCCTGTCTTGTCACAAAGTTAAAAGATACGCACGCGCAATGGATAGACTGAGACTGCGCTGGCTTGCTGCGCGTTGCACCGCGCATAGGTAGGTATTTAACGGTGGAAGTGGTCATTGCTCCAGCCGGGCGTCTTTTGTATTTATTTCCGTTTTTTATGTAGTGCTTATTAGTTGTTTTTTACTTACTCTGTATGCGTTTTTAAAAAGAATAATTATTTAGTACTCAAAGGAGGAAAGAACTTAAAAATAACAAAAAAAAATTTTTAAATCATTTTAATAAATCCGAAAAAAATCAGAGGTACTCTATATACGTAACCCAACAATCCCACGAAGTTTCATTAAAACATTTAATTTCACCCTGTATATTATATAAATAACAAATTATTATTTATCTATGCATAAAGCTTTCGTATAAAATATAATCTATGCCGCAGGCACGGCACTTATGTATTATATGTAAATATGTCTGTTGTTTGTGATTTGTTTTTAAGTGTATTTATGTATTTAAATTTTAGTTATGTATATATATTTATGTGCTGTTTTAAGCTATTATATTCGAACAAGCATAAGTTGGTTCCTTTTCCTTTTCACCGCATTTGTAAAGATATTGATAAAATTATAATTCTGGAATGAAAATTGTATCCAATTATATATGTAATCTTCAGATTTGAATAATTAATTAAACTTAACCTCGAGTATTACAAATACATACAACATTTGCTCAAAATTCAAGTTTTGATTTTTTAGATTTAGTAATAAAATCTCCAATGACTTGTTACATTTCATATAAATATACCGATATGGTACTTTATATATATACCGATATGGTGCATAGATACTGCCTCGCCATCAGCTTTGGTCGACGGTAAGTTAGTGTGGCTGTTAAGGCGCACCTTTCTATATACAGGCGTATATTGCACCCACCAGGGTCATATGGAATGAACGTTTCAGTAATATCTATATAAAGTTAAACCTCAGATGCTTCTCTAGTTACTTTTTCACTCTTCAAGCGATTTAAAATATCAATATTGCGTAAATTCCTCTTTTTTTACCGATGAATCGGAAAATCGTCCGAAGCGCCAAGTAAAGTTCAAAACTTATTTTAATTCGCGTGAAAATATTTTTCACTATGTTTCATCAAATATCTTTATTGAAGTTTTATATGTCGTTGTAAGTCTTTGAATCTCATTTATCAAAGTCGGACTCACTTATTGAAGCGTTCAAAGTTCTCTAATGTATGAACAAGCGATCTATGAGCTTGGTTTGCATGTACTGCAACCGTGTTCCGTACAGGTGGAGTCTGAGGAGGAGAGCGAGTCGTCATCAGAAGTATCTTCGGCCACCGAAGTGTCTACGGATAGCGAGTTCGCTCGCGACGAACCCCACCCTTTACCCCCCGCCCCGCCTCCCGCGATATTAGTCACAGAACCGCCCCCTCCCCCGCCCCCTCAACTCCCAAACCCACTAAGCAGAACTCGCTCAGCCGGGGGCATCGCCACCAAACGTGCCCTCGAACTCAAACGCAAATACCTCCTCGGCGAACCGTCCCCTCCTGCCGTGAGAAAATCCGACTCCACCTCCCAAATAGATACCAAATTAGAAGCCTTCCGATCCACCATTACAGAGTTCCAGAAGATGCTCCACCCTGCCCCCACACCCTCTCCTCAACCTCAAAAATCAATACTCACGTTCAACTTCGCCACCGACGAAAAATCGAAGCCGATGCCGGATATAATACAGAACTTGTGCACGGACGCGCCTGTCGATTTACTTACTAAAGTTGACTCCCTACTCTGCAAGAAAGATTGGCGGGAAGATCCTATAAGTGAAGAGAAGAAAGACTTGGTACCTGAAGTAGAGCCAGAATTGGATTCGGATTCGCTATCTGATGATGATTCGTCGCACACTGAAACCGCGCCTAATCAACGGGTGCCAAGAGTGGAAGTTCACGACGAAGGAGGGGAGTTGATACAGCTCGACAGTCTTATGCTTATAGACAGCAGTACAGAGAATAACGACGAGAAAGCGTCAGCCGCTACGATCACCGGCCCAACTGTTGTAGCCGCCGCGGAATCTGAATCTTCAGAGTCTTGCCGAGATGCTACCACGCTGGCTCTTACCGAAACAGAGCTCTCTGATTGGGCGGCAGAGAGCGCGGTCCTAGACGATTGCGGGTTTGACGACAGAGACGAAAGGAAGAGGAGTAAGAACCCGCGGACGTTAAGTGGACCAAAGTTAATACACGACGCCAAGAACATATCCGCAATCGCGTCACACGTATGTGGACGGACGAGTCCACCACCCGTCGTTTATTCGAACGCGTTCGAGAACTTTGAGTTTGCCGATGAAGGCGAGCAAGACCCTTCGATAGAGGAACCACCGACGCCACGAAACGAGGGCTATATGGAACTGGTAGATGACGATAATGACCAATATTCCCCATCTAACGATCGATCCATCAACTTTATTGAGAGGAGCCTCTCCGAAACCGTGTTCAAACCCGCTAGCCTCGAAGCTAGCGGACCTCGAGATACCCTCGACATACCAATAGATACAATAACCTACGACAGTAGAATAGACGAAACCAAGACAGACGAACTGAAATCGCCGCAGCTCTTAAAATCTATAGAGTTGGAATCGAGCGAAAAGTCCAGCGGTGATAGTCCCACGAAGAGCGAATCTCCCACAAAAGAGGACACTGGAACAGCGACGCAAGTTGAAGCGACTACCAAATTCGTTATCAAGTCGCTCAGCTTATCGGAATCGTCTCCTCCACTCGACATCACCGAGCTACGACGTGAAGCAACGCCCCAGGAGGAGTACCGAAGGCCTAGCGAACCCTCCACCGACGAGATGACGCCGCCCCTTGTACCTGAAACCCCGAAAACTATCACTAGACCGTACACCACTTCAAACACTCCCATTTTTCCCAATTCAGCGACTATTAGGCTGTATTCGCCAGCAATATGTAGATCGGCAAGCGAAACTTTTAATCGCTCTAATTCTAGAAGCACCGACTCGCCGTGTCGGAGTATAGAGTTGTCCATGTCGCTGAACCTGAGCTCTGGCTCGATATCGCCCGTGAGTCCGACGCCGATGCGCGACACTACGAACAAGGTACAAGAGTTAAAACGAGAGAGGGAGGAACAGACGGAAGTGGTTAGGCGGCTGGTGCTGGAAAGACTGGGTAGCGGGCCTCGTGTAAGCAGAAAGTCTGCAAGACGGACTCGCGCCTCACCTATATCGAATATTCCTCCCCCGGTGCCCCCACCTCCTTCACTCCCGTCTCCCCCGCCTCCCCCACCTCCGCCTCGCCCCGCGCCCCCTGGCTTATCTCTACCCGTGACGCCATCCTTTTCGGACCCAGAGCTAACGAGAGAGAGGCGAAGCAAAAGTATCATGAAGAGCATATCCAATTACCTAAATAGGCGGCTCGGACCTCGACAAAAGGTAATATTACTGATTAACATAACACAAAACATGCAGTTTATAGTGTTGAAGCTCGTCACAATTCAGTGCATTTTGCAAACATACATTCGCAATGTTTTAATTGCATTATCATTGCCACTATTTTGTCCAATAAAAAATTGGTCCAATGTGAATAATGTACATAAAGACAATCACAGGATCATTAGTTACTTATTCAGTTCCATAATTTCATCATTAGAATACAGAAACACAAATTTATTGTTACTGGAACATTTAGCACATTAAAATATTTTATAAACTTAAAATTTGGGTAAATTACTGTTTTTGAACTTGGGAGTGGTTAACATTGAAAATTAACCTTTAATAATAACGTGAAGGCACTCACATGAAAGTAGTGTGATAAAGGGTACGGTTGTATAATAATACCTAACGTGAGGGTGTCCACGATTCGGCCTTTTTTTAAATTCCTGGTCTGGGAGATTGTGTACAAAATTTTCATAGTAGTGAGGACACCCGGTAGACTAACAGCAGTTGCTTATTGCAGTGGGCGTCGGAGCCGTCGGTCTCGAGTCACGTAAGCAAATGTCTCAGTTCAGTGTCGTGAGTCGCATGCTATCTCGCTCGCCCCCACACCTGCTAATTGTACGTTGTCTCACACGCACGGACCGTCGCTTGCTAGTTTCAAACCTGTTGACGTTGAATGGTTGCTAGTCATATAGCGTGACTTACTAATTACTTAATACTTATGAATTCACTTCATAGTAACTATCCAATATCAATATAATCGGATTTAAGTATTTTTGTACTGGACAGTACAGCTGGAATAAAGATATCGTTATTACACTTCTAGAGAATTTCTTCGGGACTATATTTTCATTTATTTAAGGGACTACAACATTTAGTTTAAAATCATGCATGTCTTATCATGCATAAATATCTCTAAACTCACTTCCTCTTCTAAGAATGGAATTAGAAAGTTTACATTGTTTTCAAATGTTTTGTCGGTACTGGTTGTATCTAGTTCTGTTTTGGCTTATAAATGTTCATATGAATGTGGTTACTATTGTTTATTTGCAAGTGCTTTTGTTGGCTGTAAATTTTGGCTTCGCAGCTCGTATTAAGACAAATTTTGGAATGGTAATTGGGCAACTAGTCATTCTTTGTAACTTTGTTGGCGATGATACAATTTTTAGAACTTTATTTTTAGATTATTTGTAGTTGGTTCATATCAAAGACGAAGTCGTCGTCGGTCAGTCGGTTCTTAAGAATGGCAAGTAGCAATAAATGCTGAAAATAATTTGTATTTCTTCCAAATGAAACTAGCATTAGTCAAATATAAATCTTGTTCGAACACTAGCTTAGGATGTCACGACATAATGGTATGCGATGAAATTAAGTGTAAGAATAGTCTCTTTGTGATATAAAACTCATATCTCAGCTAAACGACAAAAACCTATACTAATGTAAGTAAGCAAAAAAATAACTAATTTAACAAATTATTGATTGAAATTGCGGTTTTTAATCCTGAAATATTGCATAACATTTTCTATTTAGTTTGGGTTGTAAGAATGATATTTCATAATTAACAAGAGTCCATGGATAAAATCTGGAAGTCATAGTTAGCGTTGCATTTCTGATATTAATTTTAGATCACAAAATTAATTATTTGTATTTGATATATAGCAATAGAGATAACCAAGTATCAATTTTATTGTTAGTATTGTAAAAAATGTAATTATAAAATTCAGGTCTTTTGTAAATAAGCATTGCAAATGTTGGATGCGTCAGTTGCTTGTTTACACTCGAGAGCAATGAATCTGGGTCACATAAAGAATGCTAAAAATCTCGCAAACTAAGAATGATAGCTTAATGAAATAAAGTGTGTTTAATAGACAATTAAATACACCTTAAATGAAAGACATAAAATTTATAAGACACCACATTTTATTTACAAAAAAAAATACATGTAAAGAAATAGGCTGATCTCACCTTAAAACAAAAATAGGAATCATGACATTTTTGAACAACATTAGGATTTTCTTAAATTTCAATACTTCGTATTGCCTCCTCAAGCTTCCATTACTGTACACCAAGTTTCGATAATATTTTCCCATTCCTCTGTGAGAGCAATTTTGAGCTCACGAAGCGTAATTGGGGGAGGGTTTCGTTGTTTTACGCATCTCTCTAGCTCGGCCCAAGCATGCTCGATCGGATTGATATCCGGGTTGCCACTCCATACGACTAATGTTCATCCCTTGAAGGTAGTCACTCACAATCCAACCTGTTTGAGGTCGGGCATTGTCATGCATATAAATAACATCCTCACCCAAATTGACATAAATGGATATTTATTCAAGATTTCTTCCACATATCTTTCGCTAGTTAAAGCGCATTTCAGAACAAATTCCGAACCGAAGACCCACCACCGTAGGCTACTTTTTCTTCGATGCATGCTTGCTTGAATCTTTCTCCAGGTCTTCTATATACTCTGTGTCTTCCATCGTGCTTGTAGAGCATAAATTTTGATTCGGAGAACATAACTTTTGATCAATATATCGAATATCCAATTTAAGTGGTTCTAGGCATATCTTAGTCTTGAAATACAATACCCACGTTCCAGCTTAGGACCGTTTGCAGTTCTAAGTGGTTTAAAGCTAGCTTCAGCAAGTCGTCGTGTTACTGTCCATGCGCTTACTTCATCCGAGGCTGATTCGAAACTGATTTGTAATTTCAGCTCTTGTGAGAAAGCGATTTCGAAGCATGGTTTCACCAAGTATCGATCTTCTAGTACTGTGGTACACCTGGTTCTGCCTGTTCCTGGTCTGCGTAGGTAAAGGCCAGTTTCCTCATAACTCTTTGTACTTTTGACAGCGACACACCGACAGTCCTGGCTGTATCGCCCTGACCCCGGCTGGTTTCCAGCATTGTGAGAAATCGGGTGCATTCTTCAGGTGTAAACGACCTGATTATAGCTTGAATAATGAATATTGAACACTATCCACATGGTTTATATGAATGACAGATTAGAAACAAAATCAAAAACAAATGCAGTAATTTCGAAGTTACATCTTCGAAAGTCTCCCTTTTTCAAATTTAATAATTATGATATAACTTTACAATACTTAGGGTGGATTCGACCAAACTTAAACTTATACACGAGTAACTATACCAGGAATAAACTATTCCATGATTTTAATCTCGAGTAAATCCATAGTCGTTTCTCCACGTAATCGATAGTATACTTGCGCTAGGAATAACAATACGCGAATAGCAGGGTGAATTGTGAACGTAAATAAAACCCGGCGAATAAATGTTGTTCTACAACGGGAAAGTGTAAGAGCATACTTAATGTCAACTCGATTTTGCCGTATTATAGTGTGAAAAAGTAGCTGTAGAGTAAGCTAGCTAGCTGTCAAACGTGATAATTTTATTTGTTGTTTGTTTGAGGGATTTTATAGTTTGTTTGGGATTTTATAGTGGTAGCCTACCTACGTAGGCAGGCAGGCAGGCGCAAAAAAACTGCACAGGTATAAAGAATGTATACTTACCGGTCAGATATATTTTCTAAGTTACGTTCAATTTTCGATAGCAGAAACAAAGTGGCTTCTTTGCTCAAACGAAACCTCATCGCAAAATCATGGTCATCATAATATTCAAATAAGTCTTTTCTTTCTTTTAATCATCTTGGACGTCTAGGTATAATTTCCTCATCACTATCACTATCATCAGACAAATTGTTTAAACGTTGCATTATACAATGCGAGACTATTAGTTTAGTGCGTTGAGTTGATTTGAAAACACAGATTATATATTTGTGAAATGACAGAAATCAGATGATTGGACTGACTGACGGACGCCATTACATTATTCTAGGAATAGCTCCTTTATACCGTGCGAAGCGGCGGTATAGTAACAATTCCCGAATAGGGCCACTATTCTTAGAATTGTAGATGGTAAAACGTAAAATTAATTTACTCTCGATTAACTGATGATTTATTCTAAGATTAAGATTTACTCTTGTATGGTTGAATCCACCCTTAGAAGTTTTAATATCTTCATTGAAGGAGTATTTAATTGTTTATTAATTAGAATTTATTTAATTACGCTAACATTCTTAGTTTGCTTAGAGATTTTCATTCTGTATAAAAGAAATTTTATATGCATATTCAGTAGATCTGAGAATCGGATGTAATCTATTTTTCATCCCCCTAAATGTTAAGGGTAATCCAACCCTAATTTTTTTTTTCAATTTTAGATTTTTTTTAATTTTTTTATGATATAGCATTAGTAAATACATATAACCCTAAATTTTCACCCTTCTACCACCAACTCCTATTTTTTTATGGCGGTACGAAGTTCGCTGGGTCAGCTAGTTACTATATATAAATATTTCTGAGAGTATGATTGCTTTGCTTTTTAATATACTTGGCTGTTTCGTTCCAACAGATGCTTAACGTGAATGACTATTAAGGCGCTGCGCAAACATGGACACTGTTATGTCTTGTGTCGGATATAAAAATTTGATTTATACAGAACCAGTATGATATCAGCCACTCCCTGTGCAGATGTAAACTTTTTTGCAACCAGTTGCGTTCCCCTTGACATATACTCATTGATGATCAAAAAGTGTTCGCTGACAGTACTGGAAACTAAAAGTCGTCAGTTGAAGAAACAAGCAACATTAACAAATTTCCTTATAATTACCGTGTAATCAACACAACCAGCAAAGACTATGTTTCTTCATCGCTGTCGTGAAACTGATGGAAAACAAACAACGAATTCTACTAGTGACCAGAAGTATCAACCGGCAACTCTGTCGACTGTGGTGGTGCTCCCGTTACAGTCCCCGTAGCATGAGCACCACAATTAACATTATATCTCGTTTATCATCGCGTGTAACTGTCAAACTCCATAGAAATCTGTCAATTGGGCGTGATAAAAACGCGATATATATCATATCGCTGTGCTAATGCTAGGGAGGCAGGACACAGCAAGTACGGTTTCCTGTGACGGTGTGCCGTGTCGGTAACAAAAAGTGCCTACGTTGCGCAGCGCCTTCATTTTTATCAGTAGAATAAGCCTTATCTACAAATATTTAAGATGTGGAACATTTAATTTTTGACGTGACAACGTCTTAAATTAGGTTGCGGCTGGGAGTCACTTATGAAAAAGTGTAACGCTCGGTAACGTTACGATGAGTCTCTCGTGTTAAGTTTAAGTTTACATGTACAATGTTTTAGTAAACAAAATATATTTCTATAGTTAAAATTTGTGCAATTCTTATTTTCATTCAATTCCTTGTTCCTATTGTGCAATTTAATTATAATCATATCAATAAATATTCTACCGAGAAAAAGACGTTGTCACGTAAAATCTTCGCCCGTAAAACCGACTTTACAGGCAACCATTTTTATATTATACTAAAAGACTGTTGAAACGTTATAGCTATTTAATAATATTTGCTGACAAATATGCCTTGTTTTGGGACTACTTAGTAATTTCATTGAAGCATCTCGATTTACTAGACGATGACGACTCTGGCTTCAGGACCAAAAACTATTTTAGAAAATATTAAAATGTTACTATAGTATTTGCGGCGAATAGAATTATGTAGCAATAAAGACGAGATGAATAACGTTAAACTATTCGCGAATATCTATTTCTTACGACTCGTTGATGACATCACCGGGTTGGTTGATTGGTGCCGTTGTAAACAATCCTTTATATTGTCAAAGAGGTTCTACAAATCCGCTGAAGCCATACCAATGTGTAGGTATACGTTCACGTGAACTACTTACTCTTCGCAATCCAAATAACGCCCTAGAAATAAAACCTATTTTGCTTTCCCTCTCGACTGAAGAAGAAAAAAAGGATTTTTTTTCTCTGTACGTTACCAGTGACGAAATCTATAGGGAACATGCCAGAGCCGTGGTCGTCTAGGATACGAGATGCTCGTGTTTGGCTATATCATAGACACCGAGAATAGGCTGAGGCTTCCCTGGTCAACTATGAAGTAAAACCATGTAGATAATCGTGCGGCCAATAGTTCGTATTGGTATTGGCTGCACCATCGCTTATTCTAGTCTAGGGATTGGCCATTTTTTTGCGATCTTTGTCGTTTAGTCCATGCTTTATGTCTATTGGCTATTTATGTTTTCTGAGTGGAGTAGGTAGTGATTGATCTTTTGTGGTGCGTAGGAGAGTCCGCAGCGACCTGTTGCCGCGCATAAATCCACTGGAGCGTTACAGCACGTGACGGAGGCGCCGCCAGTACCGCCGCCGCCCGCTGGTTATTGCCCACCGGTTGATAGGCGGCACCAGCACAGACTGCCAGGTAACCTAACCAGATTCATCGTCAGCATATTAATGTTCCCACTGCTGGGGCACGCGCTTTTCCTATGGATGCAATAGAGAGTTTGAGCCATGACCCACTACGCCAACTTAGTGCGGATTCGTGGTTGCTAACGAATGTAAATGCAGCCGGGTACAACGGGTTAACGTTCCTTCCGAGACACTGAGGAGATCGTGATATAAAATATTTGGTTCCACCCTAAAACCGACCAATGCAAAAGTTGCTTAACTACTACAATCGCAGATCCAGCACGCTATCCACTTGCAGAATGTTATGTCAATGGACAAGAAATCTGCAAAATTTGGCCACTAGGGGCGCTGTAATCGCTTGACCCAAAACTTCTATTAAATTCGTACCTATTAGCTTATATTCATTTTTAAGCTTTTTATTAAACAAATTACAAATGACGCGTTGTGCAGTTCCTGGTTGTCGTGAGAATACTGCATGCTTACCGACTAAAATATAATTTTATATGTTGCTTTGAAAGGGGTAGGGGGGGGGGGGGGGGCAACTGAGCTGATGTTTACATCATGCTCTGTATCTGGGGCAGGTAATTGCATCTGGAAGTCTTCATTTTGATCAGAAAAAACTGCACCAAAATTCAAATTGTGGTCATATGCCTCAAGTCTGTAAAAACCCAATGTTATACTTCCCATTTTAGCCAGAGGTAACCTAACTCTATGAGATGTCGACTGATGCAAAAATGGGATAGATTTGACTAATGAGCCTGCTAAAAGTTACTGAGATCCATGAACTATTAAAATAATCATGGAAAATGCATCTATGTACCGAGAATGAGCATTCTAGCATAATAATAGAAAGAGTACCTTTCTATTAGATTAGCTTTTCTGCCTTATTTCTCCTTTTCAACTCTGTTTTCAGCTGTATTACAGACCATGTTGAATACATTTTCACCACTTATTTAATATTTTTCACAACAAAAAAACACGTTTAAAATATGACAGCTGCAATATTCGGCTGTGGTTAGGGTCGAGCGTTTGCAGCGCCATCTGTGTCAAGCTTTGCGTAAATTTCTTCATTGTGGGTGTTAATTGACAGATAATTTTGGCGTTTTTTGAATAGATCCGTATCTTTTCTAAAGCGTGACGTATAAAACAAAGTTTGTTTTGTAGCTCTCCTTTTGGGACCTACACTTAGCGCGTGGTACAGCGGTCGTGGTTAAACTATAGCTCGCACATCCTCACGACTCACGCATAATCTGTGTCTATTTAAATATCAATCAATCAAATAAATACTGTAGGCAAAGAAAAAATATAACTCCATAAAAGGATGATAAGGAACAAAAGATTAAAATAAAATGATGTAATATCTTTCTTCATATCACTTTTAGTCCCAGACTTTTTTTAATTTTATAATATGGAAAATATGAGTTTTTCTTTGCTTACAGTAAATGATAACTGTACTTACGAATCGTCCACATTGCACTTTATACCACTGCATGCATCGCGATGCTTAGGCTTCGTTTTCATAAAACTTGGCGTTAACCAAGCCGATTCTGTCATTCCATTTGCACAGTCAAGATCATGACAGTGAATATAACTGTCTCTGACTGAATATGACTCTGTCAATATCGATTTTTTACCACCGACATGATATTGCCTGTACATTGCAAGATTATGATTATACCATTGCGCTTTATACCAGCCGCTCATTGTTAACAAATCATGAATAATATTGTTACTCTTATTACTTATGAGTAACTAAGTAGTTTTTAGCAGGAATGTAGTAGATATCAGATATGTATAAAAGCTTAGGCGTTTAGGAAAAATAGGCTTTAGGATGGCAAGGTGAGGGTGGCCGGTGCGGTTCCTATGTCTGCCGCACTAGTTGTCTTCGCAACATTACTCCACTCACGCTCGACATCCGGTGGTGTGGAGTCACACTAGGTCTTCTATAAAGAAAATGTAAAAAAGGCGGGAGTGGCGCGGATGCGGAGGAACGGGACGCGATGCAGTTGTGGTTCGAGGCGAGGTGGGCGCGTCTGGTGGCGCAGCGGAGGGACCGCGATCGAGACCGGGAGCGAGAACAACGGGAACGGGAGAGAGACAGGGATTGCGACCGGGACGGGCCGAGTGCGCGACGACTTGCTCGCCTCGAGCGACGCCTAACACGCCCTCTATCAGGTAATAGATGATTTCTGTATTACGTGGATGCTGGTACGAGGCTGATCACTTTCTGCAGTTAGTCTTCTATCTTTAGCACCTGTTCTTCACAAATAAGTAGTGGTTAATCACACTTGAATTTACAACCGACGTGCATGACATGTGCAATGACTTCTTTCTCACCTTAAGAGATTCCTCACGCGACCTATATCAGGTAATAATAGTTTGGTTCTGTCTTACGCGGATTCTGGTACGGAGGCGGAATGCGTTCTGCAGTTAGTTCTTTATCTTTAGCGCCTGTTCTTTCCCAATAAGGAGTGGTTAAAGTCACACTAGGGTTCATATACACGAGTGGCTCGCAGCCGTCGACTTGTTGGCGATCATCATCGTCGAAAGATGGCGACGGCTGCCATCGGCTACGAATCTACGAGCCACTTTGTTCGAAAATGAGTTATACAGTGGTGGTGATATAATTAGAAACACTTCTTATGAATAAAAAAAAAAAAATCAAGCAATAATATAGCCACTCAAATAAAAAAACTCATTAAATGCATAAAATATAAAACATATCTTACTTTTAAATACAAAATTAGTCTTACACATATAGGAGTGTATTTTCTGTTACTCGCCGATTGGACGCCTAATTAGAAACATTTAAAAAAAACATCCATAGCTCGTTTTTTTTTAAAAATTGGAGAATAACATTTCTTTCTTAGCTTTTTCTATTATTTTGGCAATTCAAACTTTAATCTGAATTTTATTTTGTTCAAAATGGGCAAAAATAAAGGTTGTGACGCGTCAACTAGGCAAATAATTGTTAGTTTACATATATCATAAGTGGGCGTACAGAAGAATAGCTGAGCATTTAAATTAAGAAAGTTTATAATGCAATTGATCATTATAAAATAAATGGAACTGTTGAAAATGTTTTTATAAAGGCTCGGCTAAGAAAAACCTCTCCCAGAGAAGATACGCTAATCGTTCTAGTTGCTAAAAAGACCCAATACAAAGTTGCAGTGTGTGTGTGTGTTGCGTGTTGCAGTTAGTCCTCAATCTTTAGCATCAGCATTGCTATTCTGTTATTAGAAACTATCTTTTCACTGCTGAATCCACGGTGTGACAAAAACTAATTCATGTGAAACATATCGTTTCTGTTAGCTTTTGCTATTCATCACCAATAATAACATTTACACCTTCCATGCGAATTGCTCGCTTGAAGTGGCGTCTCACGGTTCCCAGTAGTGTATCAGGTAACAGGCGGGTTCGGTGTCTTCTGGCCTAAGGTAAGTGATACTTTTTACTTGTGTATTCATAGTCATCATGAAAATTATTCATAGGATCTAAAGCAATTTTTCCATAATTCTAATACGTATGAGTATAGCCCTAGATTTAAATTTAGCTAAAGAAATCTTGAATTGCTCGATGCATGCTGTATTAATTTATTTGTTTATCGTCATCATCATTATCGTTATTCACTGCATATCATTGCAATTAATGACTGTTCATGTGTTTAACATTTTTTTTCATTGTGGTGTTACATTTAGCCTGAGACATACACAAGACCTTAGAAACTTCCTTGTCCTAAAATATAGGGTAGGCTTGGTGCCAATATGATAGGCATTCTGCGCATCTAAAATGTACGGTTTATTTAAAGTAATAAAACATTGATACATTAAACATTATCAAGTATAAATGAAATACCTTGTGTTGAAGAATTACCTTTATTATTGAACTGGTTAAAAACAATATATATTGTTTCTATTACGCAGCGGAGCAGCAAGCAGCGACGGTGGCGGAGTTAGTGCAAGTGTCAGCTCAAAGGGACGCGCACCAAGCACTTATGGCTGCTGATAGGTAACTATAAATTCCCGACATTTAAAATGTATACACTTCACTCACATAACCGCAAAGCTACAGCCAAAGTTATAGCATCATTTTAAAATAAGGTTTAACTTTACTCAATGTTTTGTAATAAAGGGGATGGGAATACACGTTCATAACATGCTATTATAAATTTTATGGACTATTGCGCACTGAGGGTACGCACCAAACTATTATCGCCTGAGACAGGAAGTTACCTCAATAGTGTAGGGAGATAATTTTGAGAAAATGGCGTTCAAAAACAGATTATGTTGGTAGATACTAATTTCGAACAAGTAAGAAAACGTCCTTGATCGTAACTGGTTACGACCAAGGACGAATAAGTCTTCGATTGTAACTGATTACGAAACACGGTTACGATGACGACCGAAGGGGTCGTAACTTCACTTTCTCAAAATGGTATATTGTTGATAGGATATCAAAATAAAAAAAAGTGTACCTTTATGAATTTTCCATTTCATTATTTTCTTTAGAAGACGCAGTGCTGCCGGAATCGGCGCAGGCGATTAGACGCAAAAAGCGCGACGGAACGCTGTCTGCTCGCGCGCACAACACGGCGACCAATAGGCGTCCACCACATTAAAGGCGAGGCGCGGATACCATTACTCATTAAACTAGCCCAAACACTTACATTTGGAGACAACAAAGCTTTATAGCGGAATTTATGTTTACATTTAAGTAGCGGAATTCAATTAGTCAGTCTTTTCTAGACCCTCATTGTGTGAGAGTTTCTTCTAAGATGCTTTTGTATTGATCTTGAATGACTTTTTTTTCTTTTGCGGAATATTTGTGTTATATTCTGGATGAGTGGAGTAGAGTGTGCTTGCTATATTATCTATCATATATGTAATGCGTATTTATCGTTGATAATATGATATTTTTCACAGTCGAGATTATTATGGATAATTACAATACACGTTCCAACTAACGGAAAAATAACCCCTATTTTTATAGATCGATACGTAAATATATTGTTCATGCTATATATGTTTGAATTGGGTTGTCGTTTGTTTGATAGGTAAAATTTTATTTGTCTTTTTATGTGTATATTGTATTATTAAAGTGTCAATGATGCATCCTATTCGTTAGTTGGATCGAGTAATTTGTATTTCAAATATGCGCTACACTTTGTTCAAATTAGTTTATAATTATTTACGATACCTATTAAGTTTTATTGTTTTAATCATAGAGTTTAAGTAATATTTTTACACATAAAATTATTTTCATTCGTTTTTTCCCTACGACACTTATACATATATTTTTTAACAAAACACAGTACTTTTAGTGATTAGTGCTTGATCTCCAATAGATTTCCTACTAGAGAGGACAGTCAATTAAAACATACGACTATTTTATGTATATTTATCATAATGACCGACATAGTTATATTCAGAAGACACTATAGAATCAAGTGTATATATATATATATATATGCTGTAATTGCTATTGGTATTGTTTTAAATCATGCCTTTGAGAATCATGCCATGAAGCAGTTGTTTCTTTCTATTTATCTTAGAATATGCTATAAATATTATTGTTAATACAAAAATTATAATTATTATGGTTTTTAAAGAGAAACTATCAAAAAATCTTTACTAAATTAGGTTCATCGTAAGATACTCATATACTTTATAGTGTAAATATAATCTTTATTTTAACCATTAGTTTCATATGCCGTTTGAAAATCACCAAGATGCAACATTAGTGTAAAGTTTTATTTTAATAAAAGTAAATCAACTTGAAACACGTCTGAAAGGTTTCGTGTGGGTATGTAAATGTTTACATCATTTTCATTTCATAGGGAATGATTGTTTTGTGAAACGAGGGGGACCACACTTCGGTACGTATATTCAGGGAATATTTTCCAAACCCTTTATTTATACCAAAATGACATTGAAGAACGGGGATTTTGGACAAAGGCTGTTGTGAATAGTTTGGTTTTGCGTACCTACTTTAATATTATTCTACTATAAAAAATCTAATAGGTGTATTTATCATTTATGTCCATTTTCGTATTCAAGTATCGAATGGTTTTTCTATAGATTATTGAAAAATGTTTTTCGTGTTTGGTTCAAATTTAAATATTTTTAATAAACACCGCTTCGAGCGGAGTAAACTCTTCACACCTGCCATGTAAATTGAAAACAAACTCTATTGCCCTTAAATAAAGTTTGATTTCCATTGATAAACGTTAGGTGGAGATGTATATTATAAAATTGTACATATGTTGATATTTGTAAATTTGGCAAAGTTGGCGGTCGAAAGAGCTTAGTCACGTGTTTTAGTAGGTAAAGTTAGTTGAACTCAGAACTACTTTATAATTACATATGTCTACGACGTTTTAAAGATGATTGCATTCCGGAGTAGGAAGCAACAAAACAATAAAAATCTTTTTAATATTGAACTATTAAATAAGGGATCTGGTTAAAATTATATGTTTTGTCTCTGTCTGTGTTCGAATAAACGAAAATGGCAAAACATGCACGATTTATTAAATAAAAAGAACTTTAATCCGAATAAAACTACCTATAATGATGATGGCACACGTCTGATTGCGTTTTTAAAGGAGTACGTAGAGTCAGTTAATTTGATGTTTATATTATTTATATACCAGTATTGGCTTTTGAAGCTAAAATTGTGCAGAACACATTAAAAACAACAACAAAACACATTAAATTGACAGAGATTTATGATAATTTAATTGGCTCGTGCGACCGTAGTGGCGTAGAACACCTCATAGTAAAGTCCATTGGATATGCTGCTTTTGATGACCTAACACCGTTTCGAAACTATAATAAATACCCTAATAACTGCTTTTAATGGACTAATATCGTTTTAACTCGTCATTTTTTTTGCCATAGTAAATAAGCTCATTTTTGAGTGAATTCTTGCACCTACAGATTAGCATACCAGCAGCACCTACAGATGTCTATAAAATATATTGCAGTTTTGTATGGCAAACCAAGTAAAGTAAATACTGACTGTCATCATGATGCTTGATGATGATGATGCTAAAACTTTCCATAAATTTGATCCATTACACGACATCTGATAGTATATATTATTTACAGCGCTCTTTATTTTGACTCTCCTACAACTATACGTTTTAGTGTAATAAAACATTATTGATATGGAGTATCAGTAATAGGGTGCATTCGTGATAGTAACCTTAGCGAGTTAGAAACAAAAATCACCATCGGTATGGGGTACTACTATGCTTTTGCCACCATTATAGGTAATCAAATATATTTTGAAACCCTGATGACTGTGATAAAATGCAGTTTTGAATTACGCAGACCAATAAATTTGGTAACCCAACAGGCAAAAGAAAAGCTATCCTACAATTAGTTCTCCAAGCACAATAAATGTATATTTTTGCAAGCTTTATCGACAACCAACTTCGCTGACTATATACTATTTAATCATAACGACCCCTTATATTAACAAGCGCATTATAATGTGTAGGCTAACTTATGCTTAAGCCCCTATTTTTAGAGTGTTATATATATATGGAACAACTATATTTAACAGTCTTTATTCTTATTTGAGTAAAAATTTATATCACAATATTCACCTACTATGGATTTTTGCACTTTTATCGACGCCGATGTGACGATAACATGTGAAATCAATGGCATGGAGATTGTATTTCAAGTCACGAACAAATTATTATAATGTTACAAGTCTAATTTTAATTTAATTTTGCTAATAGTCAAGTCTCATCCACGGGACTTTATTTGACAGTCGAATTCGTCTTCATACTTTGTATAAGTAAAAAACTTAAGCTTTACGCACTCTGTACTAGAGATCGCATGAACGTGACGATGAAATTAATGTCATTTTGCCTATCGAAGCTTCCTAATTAGTTTATTCTTTTAAAATTATGTAATGCGTAGCTGTATACAGAATAACAATTGAACTGAACCTTACTACAACCAATTAAGATTTAATACTGAACGACAACGCCACGGGACGACGTCTACTAGAGAGCATCTTTGGTTTTAGTAACCTTCTATCGATTGTTAGCACATAACCAAATCTACATGATAAAGATAAAGAAGTTCCCTACACGGGCGATTGTCTAAGAAATTACAATGTCACAAAAATACGCGGACCCCATATAGAGGGCTAAACGGTGTGCTAGATATGCCAAAAGAGTTTTACATTAAATATTTATATTTGTATTATATATGTGCTGTAAGTGTATAGTGTAAGTTAATCCACTCGCTCTTCGGAAAACGGTGTGTCCGCTCAGTGGACTACTAAGAAGGTTAACAATTTAGTTAAGAAATCCTTCAATTTGTACAGTTTGTTTCCGAGATTCATTCAATCTATTTTAGGCTATCTGACAAACACATATACAAAAAAAAATGATTGGAGGTATTTGTTATAATTGTGTAAACTGATGCCCTTTTTGCTGATGTAATGTAAACTGATGCCTGCGCAGAAGAGGGACTTGACCGAGGTATTTTATGTCCGCCAAAATAGATCGATTACAATAGGCTAGTTGACTCATGTCGAATTGTATTAAATAAATGTTTATTTCTTAAAGTATTTGGTCTAAGGAACCTAAATATATCGATTTCACTTCATAAAAGCAGAAGATTGCTGTAGAAATTTAATTTAAAAAAATAATTTTTAGTCTATACTTTTTAAACACTAAAAACGCTGTTCGCCACATCCGCCATTATTGTGACGTCTCTTTTAACAACTAAATGTCATTCATACATAACTTTAAAACTTGTATTATTAAAACTGATAATAAATGAAGAGACTTAAAATATTATTCAATGAGTACTTACATCAAAGTAATCTTCACAAAAATAAATTTTACTATGAGTCGATAAAGTTGCAGGATTACTTTTAGCAAGTTCTAACCAGGTATTGCGTAGGTTAATTTCTTTCGGCACTTTAATCCACAACCTTCCTGGAGTCTTCAAGGATGTGTTTTTACATTCTCGTACAATACAATAATGATAATTACTATATTTTTTCTTTTTATTATAAACTCAGATAGGTTATTTTCTACGTGCTTACGAGTTTTTGTTTACTACCGTCAACGTCATAGCATAGATAATGTATAGACTAAAATGGCCGACAGCGTTTTTGTATGTCCATGAAAAGTCTATTTTAAAATTAAAGATTTGTAGCTTTCTAGGTCTCAAAAAAATACAATACAATTTTTTTCGGTCTAATAGAACATTTATGAACCATTTAAAACTTTTTTCCAAAAAGGGTCAACTAGCCTATTGCATCTAGATACGTACACGACGAATTAAAAGTACCGCTTAGAAAATTCCTCCGAATATTCGTGGACACCCGAGAGACTGGATAAGACAAAAGTGCGCAGGAGTCCCCGAAACAAATTTAACTCATGTGAGAAGGCGCAGCAATACCCGCAGCTAACTTTTAGTCTGCGTTGCATGCACAATCCGATTTAATGAAATAGACCCAGTATACACTTTAAAAACGTCTTCTCTTTTTCTTAAACTTCATATTAATTACAACACAACGTAATCTGAGAATATTTCCTACCATAGCGTGCGCTTTTCAATATTTTCGGGGGATAAATGTACGCACATCGCGTTCGATGAGTCCGTGATGTGTCCTCGGCGGTCATTTTCTTCACTGGGACTTTTGTGCGCGGATAAAAGTCCTTCGTCTGGGCAGACTGTGTGTTAAGCTAAGCTCATTATGGAAATCACATCTCCTATCTTTAAATAACATACTGTATTGATATCGATATCAAAAGCTTTGTAATTTGGTATTACGATATCTTATTGAATCTACCTTAAACTTTCTTAAAGTTTTTGATCCTGTCGACACACACAGTTTTATGGAATGTATGCATTTTCAAGACATCATTATGATCTGTCCCGATTCTAAAAATCTTTGATCTGCGTGATTGTGCATCTTCAGATATCAGTACTTAAATGGTAACATTTTCAATGTACGCATTAGGCGTACGCTGCTCCTTAGGCCTCAAGTTGTGCTAACTGACCCTAAGCCATGTTCGTTGTTGTTGTTTAGTTTTTGAAGTTCCGCTCTCACTAGTTTAGGTTTGGAGAAAGATGGAACATAAAAATCTAAGGTTCGGCTTCACCAAATCAGAAATCGATAATTTTCGACTGTAAATTCCAACAATATTTACTTAATTATTGTTATCTAACTGTATAATGTGTTGATATTAAGTTTTGTACAATTACGCAGTCAATTACTAGTGTAAAAAGATACCCCTGAAAACTAAAAAGTTTTGGTTACAGTAAGTAATGTAAAATTAATAATTATATTAATCGTAATAGCAATGTATACTTACTGTCGCACGCTTACAAAGCCTTCCCGAAAGCAATATACTATACAATGCGTTAAGATTTAGAAAGTATGTGAATAAGTGGGAAGTGTATATTTTCATAATATTTTTATATGCAAAAGAGGATTGGTACTGTTTTACTTAGGTTAATTGACCTAGTGGGGTATGTTGATAAGTAAAGGAGTTTATAGTGTGGTAGTAGTAAGCGTTTGGTTACCGTAGCAATGTTAACGAAACGCCGATTAACCGATGTGTGATCAAATATGGCGAGTTTCTCCTTGATTTCTATTAATGATAGTACTCGAGACGCCAATGCACTTTTAAGCTTCATTCAAGTTATAGCTGTAACTTTATTTCTCTATATCAATAGAGTTAGACAACGCATGATTTTAAATGACATTACATTTATTGGGCGTCTCTGTTTATGGCCGATAGGACAACTGCACCGAGCCCGCTTATTTCCTTCAAAGCCTGTTTTAAGGACGTGGAAATTAAACAGGATGACTTTTGCTTTAAAACTAATTTCCTCTTATTTTCCATTATAATTTACCACAACTGCTATTTTCGTATCTGAGTTATAATCACATTTGACATCTCATATGCTCATTTGCTGTGTTTTCTTGGAGAGCTCATATCACTCTTTTGAATTTAATTGCAGCGTATCCTTAGCAGCTTTCTACCCAGTATATTATTTACCTACGATCACGCCCATATTATAAATACCACATGATCTAAGTAATAACGCGACTTCTCATTTGAACGCGTTAATTGACGCAACGCCCTCAACTAATATGAGATTATATATTGTATGAGCCGTATTGTATATCATGTCTTACAAATCGCGGACTCGCAATCGATTTAGAATTTTATAGTAGACTACTAACGTTAGCAATAACCTACCCGCAGTAAAAGATAAACTGAATATAATTCATGTTCCACTCAAAAACGTCAACTAATGTTTAAGTTTGATTAAGATTGATGGTGTTACTTTGTGAAAGCAATAGAATAAGCCAAGCTAATATTGCGAGTTAAATGTGATCATTTAATTGGTATATCTGAATGCGATCTTAAGTTGTGTACATTTGTCGATGAGAAACAGCATAAAAATGCTTCTAGTGCAAGAAAACAACTTTTCGATCGGTAAGAAAACTAAAGCGAAGCTGTTCGTCCAATTTTATAAATATGAAGTTTTTTTTTTAAATAGAAGTAATAAGCATTCGACCCAGTTATCATAAAGGTTAAAATTTGGTATCACTTACTGCAGATAGTTTATTGGACCTGTCATGAAAAAACAACGAGATATGGAACTCAGATTTGTTAAAAAAGTAGAGGTAAATGTTCTGAAAGAACTCTTATTTATTTCCACATAACTTACATAAAATACAGGATAATACAGAAATTTAAGGGTCATACATCAACATTCTTATATCAAATTGAAGCTTTCTTAGTCGTTTTTAAAACATTTTTTTTTTTCAAGTCAAATAGATGTAAACTGATATGATTTTGTTTAAATTCCATTAAAGAAGTTTGGTGCCAGTGGGCCTCGTAGTATTGTTAATGTAAATCCAAAATGAAAGCATTTTTGAGTAATTTTTACACATATGACCTACCTACAATAAGCATAATAAAATTGTTATGCATGTTAAAGTTTTTATACCGTATCCGTTGAATTTTTATCATGTTTAATTTAAAGATTAGTTAATAAACTGTATACTGTATAATAAACTGTGAGCATCAAGTTGCCACAGACTGTCATTTGACAATTTTTTTTCTCAAACGATTGTGTATCTAATTCAAGTAATTTAAAGTTGAAACTCAGTTGGAGAAATTTGACAGGTTTGGGGTAACTTGATCTGTAGCTATTTATGCACATTAGTTTTAAATAATATTAATTTTAATCTAAAAGATTTTTTTCTTCTGACGCTATCTTAAGTATTAAAATGAAATTTTCTTTTGATGAGATTTTGAAATACGTTTGTGTGTAAGAATGATTCTAAAGCATTTTTTGACCTGGCATTTTTATATTGTGTTTGTTTACTATAATTTCTTTGTAATACTACTGATGTGAATTTGTTTATGTTGGTTGTTCAGCCAAGGAACTTTTATTATTTATACGAAACCTTTTTTTAAGTTATAGTTGGTAATTGTTTTATCACTTGTCTTATCATCGTTATTAGCATGAGACATAATATTTGGTTTAGCAATTATTATTGCATCGTATTTTATACAAAATGTTTTGAATTATCCGGACCACTGATGTTTTTGGTTGTCTGTACTTGAAAATAGCTTCGCCATTAGTGCGTGATATTATATATACACCTACTCAAAGAATTTGCATTTTCAATTATTTTTTTTTACAATTCTGAAGACTCTGTAATATATATCATATGCCTTGAATAGTATTCATTTCATGGAATTTTACACTTCGCTAATGAATCACCGACAAGAGCTGTACATTTTAACAATATTGTAAAAAAGTACATAACTCTAGATGTTTGGAGAGTAAGTTTACAATAATGAATGATAAAGTAGCTACCTAATCAAAAGGTAAGTTTCTGATGTAGACTATGAGACGAACTTCTTAGCAATCCATGGATTCACCGTGCGGGTGCCGGGTCCATCGTGTTGGAGAGAGAGAAACTCTGAGCAGTTCCCGGGACTTGCGACCCAGGTGTAGGTTTAAGGAGGTCCACTTTAAGACGCTCAAGTTGCCCGCCCTTCCTAGCCAAATTTGATAGGAGTTTGTTAGTGCAGCCTTAGTTACTCGTTGAACTCAAAATTGAACTTACTGTAGTTCCCAACAGGTTTAGGTCTTTTAGAAGGTTATAGAGAGATTTTGCTGGTATACTTCTCGCTCCTACTTCTACCGCATATAAATTAACTAGATAGCCATTTTTAGTTACTTCATTGGTTAGATCGTAATATTTATTCAATTTTATTGGTGGTGGAATGTTACTTTTCCACGGTACAGTAAGCTCTTATGTGTCTAGAAAAGAGTCCGGCATGGATGACGAAACACCAATATCCTCTGGTATTTTTAATTCTTTTCATACGTACGAAAAGCAAGCCCTTCTCAATCCTAAGTACTGACTTAGGATTTAGAAAGGCTTGCTTTTCGAATTAACAGTTGAGCCTTCTTTTAAGTGAGTGAGAGTTCGGGATCGTAAGAGGTATATTTGGTGTCTTGTCTACCCAGACATAGACAGCAGCACTTTCTTGCTTTTGTCCTCAGTCCGTCAGTCCATGCACAGTACTTATCCACTTTAATTAATAATTTCTGACATTGTTTAGGATAACGCCGTCAGTATTGCGAGGTCGTATGCAAAAGCTAAGATTGACTCTGTGTATTTATTGTTTAATTTAAACCTATAGCCCGACTTTTCTCATGAGTTATCAGCTTGTCTATAACAATATTTATAATTATGTCAAATTCTAATGGTTACAGGCAGCAGCCCTGAAACAGCCCTACACTATAATGCAATGGTTTTGTGTGTTCCTTGTTTGCTGCTACGACAAATTGTAATTGTGAGTAATATTATGTGATTATGTCGATGACTACAGAAGGAAAGTTATTCCACTTCAAAGCGAGTTACTTCATTAGTTTATACTGTACCGAACCAAATGCGTTTTCTAGGTCTATCCAGCAGACTGACGGTCTCTCATGTATTCTGGCATCTTTTAAACTTTCCGCTACTAATGTGTTGTGTTCCAGACAGCCAGAAATGTCGGGCAAGAACCCTTTTTGATGGTTGGACCTGAAATACCTATTGGTGATCATATTATCATTTATATTCTATTATTGAATTTAGATGTCATTATTATTGTAACTGGTCGAGATTAAACCCAATTTAAGGTTCTATACAAAGCAATATACCACCTTTTGTACGCGTAATTTGAAAAACTAATAAAAACAATAATATATTAATTTGAGTGTTTTATTTACTGTAAAAGTGAGATAGTAGGATCGTATTATATCACCTGGGTAATTTATTTCCTGTAGTCTTACAATTTGGAATACGAGCGGTCGTTTAATACAGAAACTTCGCCCTGCAGTCTGTACAGCAAAACAACTAATTCTAATGGGATTTTTATTTCCAATAGACTTATTCGAAAGTCAAACGAGAATTTTGTTTCCTATAGATACACTATGTGTATATAGCGCTTGTTACCTTTTTACCCGGCTGCGCAATGCAAGAGCGCGAAGCGCGACGCGCAGACAGGGTTATGTGTTTAACAGTCTATATATGTATGTTTGTTCCTTTGTGGCACACTAGAGACCAAACGCCTGGACCGATTTTGATGATTCATACATTAATCGATTCGTCTCAATCATGGGAGTGCTACTAAAGATTTGATAGTAATCACAATTCAATATGGGCAAAATTAGGCGCCATATTGTGACGAAGTAAAAAAAATAAGTTGACAAAATATGTCGAGTGGGGTATCACTGTCTAGATAATCAAAAATCATATTTAGGTTCCTAACGCCATTTTTCATTTTATATGATTATTTAGGATCTACAACGCTTTAAAGTTTTATATTAACCACTTACGCTTTTAATTTCAATCTTACGTTTAGATCTTTGTTACTCTTTCACCTAAAAAATACTGAATGGATTTTAATGAAACTTAACAGTAATGTAGCTCATACATGATAATTACATATATATAATAATTTATGTAGTTATTGAGTGAATTGGCCAATATAATATAACAATAAGTGTCACATAAGACGGAAAAAAATCTCCCATCTGAGAGCCATTTTGGCCTGCACTGCAAAAACAATAAAAGTTACATGAATGTAATGTAGAATGAAAATGGTATCGATTCTGGCATGATTCTCTAAAGCTTAACTTAAATTTGACAACAGTGTATCCTTGTCATTCTCTATATAGAATATAAAGGACAGACTGATATTTAAATTTAGTTTTAAGTTTAGAGAATGCTGCCAGAATCGACACCAATGTATCTCTTAAATAGTTCTAAAAAAAGTCCGTGACACCATATATCTATTTTTAATGTGTAAGTCATTACCGCTAAAATGGTGAATTAAAACTAAAATATTATTTGATATCTATTTCCAAAATGCACATTTTGTATTAACAAATCATTTTTTATCAAAACAAATACTTTTATCGCTTTTGATATTTAAAGACGATAAACTTTGCTTTTTACACTATGTCATTTCGACAAATATTTAAAAAGTTACAACGATGACAAAGTGATAGCGCGGTGTACTATGTAAAAGAAAAAATGGGGTATTCGCAGTATCTGATCCTATACGAAGTACTAACAATAAAGCTGTGAGACAGTTCCTTCTTATTAAATGATGAAAGATATATTATCATAATAGGTATTTATGATTATTGAATTTTAATGAAAAACTCAGAATTTTACTGTTTTTCATTTTTTTTAACGATATTACTTAACAAACAGGTTTACTTAATATAATGACAAATAACCCATTTTTCGCTAGTAAGTACATACTTATTGGAATCCCTGTATTTATTAATCAGCTCACGATAATATTGGTTTTGTAATAATTCTGCAAAATTCAAAGTAAATAATGTAGATTTTTATAGGTAGATCACCCCTTTCATCACCCTACGCCTATAAGTATTGCGATGTTGTAGCTAAGAACCAAGTTCCCATCTACTTCTATATGGGAATTCATTATATTCGATTTAGCTATTAGGGCACGGAAGCGCAACAAACAAACTCACTTTCACATCTATAATATTATATTATACTTACTAGTGATCCACCCGGGCATTGTACGGGCGAAATTTATTTATCGGGATAAAATATAGACTATGTCACTCCGACAAAATGTATTTAAATACAGAAAAATGTAATAATAAATAATGTAGCTACCTTATGATGAATTAATATTTGAAACCGGTTCAGTAGTTTGACAGATTATTTGTTACAAACATACAAATCTTGCCTCTTTATAATATTAGTATAGACAGTTAGGATAAGATAAGTATTTAATTGATGAAAAAGATTTAAAAATAAAGTATATTTGTAAAAGTTACTTAGCATTTGTGCTTAACAGTGATACGTAATTCGGTATTTTTTTAAACAAAAAAAAATTTGGAAAATAATTGCCATGATTGCCTTACTGGGAGTAATCTTCATTCGAGGTTTACACTACCAATAAAAAAGGGTCGATCACAAAGTCTTTGACCTGTTATATGTGAACGCTTTAAAAGAAAACTACAAAGAGAACTATAAATTGATTAAATGAGATTGCTATGGTGCTCTATCTAACGTTATGAAAATTTTATTATGCGCCTTTAGTTTATTCAAATATTATAAACTTTGCTTTGGTGATTGCATAATTATTTAATTTAGTGATCTAAGGCAGTTGCCACCATTGTCCAAAACAACAAACGGGAATTACTGCTTTGTTCAACCTGCGACATAAACGTCATTGTTTGGTCTTGTATATAGGGTGATTAAAAACATTTGAAGTTAACTTCTGGCATCTACATATTGGGTTTCTGTGAATTATATAGGTATATCAAATTATGAGACTAGGGACTGACACTGCATACTTGTGTATATCACAATCTTAGACGTCCGGCATTGACATGACAATGCAGCCGCTGCCAATTTAAATAGTCGACGAATAAAAGTAAATAAATTTTATATTTACTGCTAAACTATTAAAAAAAAACATAAACAAAAGATGACTTTTTGAGTAAGTTCTAGTTTACTATAAAATTTACATACATTAGAGATATTTATGTAACGACTTGATTTAACTTCACACATTTTTGCGAAAATTGAGGCCCATCTGTAGCCTTGACTCCGCTGGTAAAGTCTCTATATGTCTTAATAAATCAATCTTTTAGACCGACGCAAGGTACTTAATAATTCCCGCGATATTAATTCCCTTACTGAAGTAACAAGACTACGGTATATACCGTCTTTAATTACTAACAAACTAAAAAGTGTGAAATAAAAAAGGTAAATTTAAAAAATCAAAAAACCCGACTGCTTAATTATACTTCAAATAAAAACTGAAAAGAAAAAAACAAGTCCAGTAGTCTATAATTCTGTTAATAAGGAACAAAGCTACTTTAGCAGTCGGGACCCATTAGATATTCAAGAATACATAATATTTTTCAACAGTACCTTTTTTTAACATTTAAAGTCGTCAGGGTTATCTTTGTCCCATGTTTGCCATAAACAAACTGATTACTCATACTCATATTAATGTATGTTGAATTGAATGAAATATTTGCAATATGTCACTCGTTTTGGTGCAGATTTTCCGTGTCTTCAGCGTGACCGTCAGGATTAGTGTTAAAAATTACCTCGAAAGCTTCCTTTTCGATGGTAAGTTTCGCGAAAGTTTCCTGAAAGTTTCCAATTTTGAAGTTTTCAAATAAATATTGTTTTACTTAATCTAAAATTGAATTCGTATACCCTGCACTGCACACTACAAAAAATATAAGTCCACTCAGGAACATACTTAATTGTTTATGTTGTATTAAATTGTGTCAAATCTTATAATTAGTAACAATCACTACATTTTTTTAATCTAATAAGCACCGAAGTTATTGATTCTTATAATTAAAATACTGCCATATAATTATGTCTTTTTTTTAAAAAGCATCTCAAAGATATTGCATTACGTTCGGTGCCTTCGTAACGTAAGACATCTCTCCATCCTTATACACCTGCATCGGCTGCATCCCTCCCTATTCGCCCTCGGCTCGGAGTAACTTGGCAACCTGGCAACGTCGCGTCGCGCGCGTACAGTACCAGGCCCAAGGAACTTATACTTATATTCTATCAGGAGTGCTTACGAAACAATATTAGAATTCAAAAAATGTACTCTAACCAGTGTTACATAAAGTACATTTTTGTTTCTAACTTCATAAGAGGGAAAAATGTTCCTTTCTTGCAATTGTCAGTGTTAATAAAAATAAATGGTAGTTTTCACATTGTCCCGATCACCATTAATAAGAACTAGTATATACAGTTCGAAAGTTAAATTAGAATTTATGTTTGATTACAGTTAATTTATTGATATCAATGCAACCAAAAGTGAGTTTTTAAACGAATAACATATCTAATAAAATTGTTTAAAATGGTAGTCATTAGTAGTAACTTGCATTTATGCATTTATCCAATAAACAATATGGCCCATATTTTTCCGGATTGAAGTCCTATTAATGCTAACTATAAATTATTTTGATCAAATTCTTGTGATTTGCTGGTGCAAAATGATATTTTATTTATGCACTATGGTGTAAAAGTGAGGCGTATGCTGGGTGTGGAATTTCAATAATAGGTACGTTTTTGACTTCTGTTTACAAATTACATGTGTAGGGTGACAAAGCATTTTCGATTCTCTTACGGAAAGTATATGTCATCGTCATCATTAGCGTATTAATGTCCACTTGTGGGGCACAGTCCTTTCCTATGGATAAGATCCACCAAGAGGGCCCAGTGCGGATTGGTGGGTGCTCACGACTGCAATTGCAGCCGGGACCAACGGCTTAGCGTGCCTTCCAAAGCACGGAGGAACTCGAGTAAGTATGAATAATTTTAGTCACCCATCTAATAACCGACCACTGCGAAAGTTGCTTAATTTCCACGATCCATTTTTTTTTTTTGAGTGTGTATGCTGTTGGTCGCAGATGACCTTTACAGCGTCACCGGGTTTGGCACGATCCATGCTATAAGCTAGCTTCACACTATAAGTAACTTAGACCGATAAACATAGACAATTTTAATGCAGCGCCATCTATGAGATTTAAAAACATCAAGTCGAATTACATGTGTAAGCACTTTTTGGATATAAATAATTTAAAATTGATCATGTGGGCGAGGTCAATAGTTGTTTTAAAAAGTCATAGATATACTAATAATGTATCTTTAGAAATAAACCCCCATTTGGGGTGAAAAAGTATGTG